CGACAAAATTGAATAATTTAAATATTCTATAAACTGAAAGTGACAAAAGCTCTTTTAAACAAATTTCAAGTTTCCGCACCTACGAGGGGACTCGACTTTTCTAAATCGCAAATTAAATTTCCGTTCCTCCATCTTCTACGTGCGACTAGTATCGATCCTGCTTGACTACTTGATAATCAAGGAAACTATTGAGAGGATAGAAAAACCAGTAATAATTCCTATAAAAAAAAAAAAAAAGGAATGACCTCGTTAAGCCCAAATAGCGCCGAAAATTTTGAGGATCAAGGCGGCAGATGTTATGTTTTTTCCATGTACATAAAAATTTCTAGGGACATCTCGACCTACATCTTAACTCGTTATCGTTTTTACAATGATGGTTTTATCGTAAAACCGCAACCGAGAGCGAATACGATAAAAAAGTAAAATTACAATACGGGCGGGTTTCTCACTTCCTCGAGACGTTTGTATTTACGAAAGAGTTCCTAGATATGTCCTTTAGATTATAGAGGAAGTCTTTAGGTGAACTCTAAGAATTGTAGATGTTTAGATAGTGGATAACATTGATTTTTGCGGATTAATTTGTGAATTCTTGGGTCTGTGAATTCTTACACCTTTGGAAGTGTAGATTGTTGAACTATTAGATATTCGCGCCATCCTAGGATTCATATAGATCCTCGAATTCTTGGACTCGAGAATTCCTCAGTTTTTAAATTTAGTTGCCTTGAAATTTTTAGCTTTCCTTTTGCAATCAAGTTGTTAGTTGAGTATTAATCCCGTTAATCGAGAGAGAAATAATTATTCGCAAAATGATTATTATTGAAATTCGATGATTAACGCACGATCTCGAGGAACACCGGGAAATTCGAGAACACCGACTTGGCTATTCAGATTCAGAGACAACGACACAGCGCATTATAAAGTAATAATGATAACTTAACGTTAATCGATTACTATTACGATCGCTCACATCGCGAGAAGTGATGACGATGATGATCATTGCGTACAGGTTGTCCTCGAATTGCCGCGTTTACTTTAAGAAATCATTTTAGAATAACAAATGAGAACAATAATAGAAGTTCGAATAATAGAACGTCTCGTAAGTTTGATATATTTCGACTTACAAATAACTCAAGTCAACGTACAGATAATTTATGTTGAGCATGTTCGCGTAGCCATTTCTTCTCGTTATTTGTAAGTAAAAAGCTATTTTCTCAGTATTTGAGCAAGGATTGTTGTGTTTGATTTTCTTTCTGGAGCATTAACGAGAAGAAACGCGATAGTTCGAGGATGACCGTGGTTAGAGAAGTTAGGCGTTAAGCAAGATACATTATTAAGAAAAAAGTTAACAAACCATATGTGGTTAAGTAGGTAGACTTTAGCTTTATACACAAGAGAGTGCTGAGGGAATATTCATGGAAACGAGAGAAAGGGAGAGTGAGAGAGAGAAAGAGAGAGAGAGAAAGAAAGAAAGAGAACTTTGTCGATGATTGTGAATGAATTACGAAAGGAAGAGCGTTAAAAAGACTCCGCATTTTCGACTGCCATTCGAGTTAGCAATGATTCGTTATACCAACATGTCCGAGCGAACTTGTGCGATATTTGTGGAAAGGTGTTATCGTTATTATCGCTGTCGCAAGAATTATGTACAAGGCGTTTAAAATCAAATGTGTTTTTTTTATTTACAGATTCTTCAATTAATTTTGAATCGATTATTAAAAATTTAAAACGGGACGTTATTTTATTCATATATATTTTTTATTTAATTCTTGATGTAACTGTCTAAGAGAAATTGTCTACAATTGTCTGTCTTTGGTTTTTTTATAAGAAAGAAATTATATTCCAACTAACATTTTTAATAAAGAAAAAATCGACTGAATATTAACAACAGAATCTACTCGCAGATGAAAGTAGCGTTGATTGGACACCCTTGTATTGTTGAACGTATTATTATTCTGAAATTTACTTTTATACTAATATTACTTTCTCTAAAAGAATGAGAGAGAGAGAGAGAGAGAGAAAGAGAGTGCGTGGAATTATTATATAAGTTTCATAATATGGTAATATTGTATAAATATTTGAATTTTCCATGTTAATTCAAATATTTGAGGATTGTATAAATTATTTCAAATTAAACTCCGTCTAATGTTTTAATGTCTTAACATGAGCATTATATTCTGTCTTATATTAATCTATTAGGACACTATATAAATTTGTAAACAAATTATCATACTTACAGAATAAAAAAAAATTGGAAAAATTTATTTAATAACAAAATTTAATTAATGTAAGAAAAGTGGATATTAATAACAACAAGGAATAATGATGTAAAAAATGATAATTTTATGTATTTTTTGTTTAATTTCGCGAAATTAAATTTAGTTCCTTTTCTTATAAGAAACACATTAAAAAATAGAATAATAATCCAATAGATTGAAATAGACATGAAAATCTTTCGTCGATTTATATAAAACTTTCTGTCTTATTTTATAATAGTAATTGTCATATTTGTTCTTGACGATAGCGTACGTTCGATATTGTTGCGGACCAGACTCTTCGTGATTTCGTTAAACCAAGAAGCAATACTATTGATGCCTACAATTACTATTATCGAACGAGTGCTTAAGTAAATTACGATCAATCCTGGAACCTTAATGAAAGGTTACTAACTTTAATTCATACAAAAAAATTTGACATTTAATCATAAACACAGTTTCAAAAATTATAATTTAGTTATAATAAATAATTTAACAATATATATTGAAACACAAAATTTTTATAAATTATGTTTGTTATTATCAAAAATAATTAAGGTTCTAGGATTAACAACGAAAAATTTAAAAACTTTTATGACAACTTTTCGCAGATCTGGAATATCTTTATAAAACAAAGTTAAACATCTCAGAACGTATCGTAATAAAGGGATCAGTTGGAAGGAATAAAGACAAAGGTAAAAGAATTAAGCTTGGATTATAATCTAATCTAATCTAAGAGATCTACGATAACTTGGAAACAAGTCTGAGCTTATTTTTCTTTTATGCGGGCAGATATCTGCGAAGAGATGTCCTTAAACTAAGAACGATTAGAATAAAATTATTTGGAGAATTTAGCAACACACTGAATGTAGAATGTGAGAAGGAGTGAACGAGAATCGCACGAAGCTTGCTCGGAAAATGAATGGAAGGTCGCGAATGATCTGAAGATTGTCTGGACTCTTGAAACTTATGAACAAATTAACTCTTCGAGTCATAAGTTTGTGCTTTGCTAGGGCTCTTGGGATTTTTCCGTTATATTTTCGTCCTAGTGGCGGTTATTAATTTTGGTCATAAAATCAAAAATCGAATATGTCCTAAGGAATATACATGATTCTTATGGCTATATACTCACACAATTTAAATTTTAATTGATCAAGGTTTTGTGTTCTTAATTTCCAACATCGAATATTAAATTTCGTGTTAAGAAACTGTAAATATTGAATCTATCTATATTTCCCTTAGAGTTTGTTCAATTTTGCATTTAATTGATCTGACAATTAAGTTTGTAGACATATTCCTTTTTCTAAGCTGACAGAGCACACTAAAAATGACGAAAAATTACACGACAAGATACTCGTGTAATTTTTCATTTATCTTCAACGGTATTTCAATTAAAGAGTTGCTCTAGTAGTAAAAACATAGCTAAAATAAGTGTATGGATGCAGAAAAAGATTTTATTTTAAAAGACTTATTATCAACTTTACGAAAATGAGTTGCATTAAAATCCGAATAAGTTTTATCTAAACGGATTTAATTGTCAGACTATTTATTCTTCTTATGACTTGTTAAAGATTTGTATATATCCTTCGCTTTATGGAAAGCTGGGATTCCGAAATCCTCGAATCGGAGGACTATTTTGCGACAGATGAAAAAGAGAACGCTGAAGAGAAAACAGGAAGCTCGCGTGAACAAAGGAAGCAAAGTAAAAATGACAATGTATGGCGGAGGAATAAAATCCTTGTATAAAGTAGCAGTGCGTAGAGGCTAACGTAATCCATAAAGGAATGATACAAACGAGTTTATTGTTGAATATAATAATGTATTATGTAACATTAACAAAGTAAAAAAAAATGGAAGAGAAAGAGGCGAATGATGATAATATTATATTGTTGTTAGATATATATATATTATATATATTATATAAAAAAAAAACCTTAGAAATTAAGTGACCACCCAACATTCACCCACACAAGTATACACTCTCGCAGGATATACAGGGTGTCTCGACGAAAATGTATTCCAGTAGAGGAGACGCTTACTGCTCGAGTAAAATTTGTGTTTGTTTTTTTCTAGCGATGACTTAATCTGAGATATTTGTTGAAAATTAATAAAAAGCAAAAATAATCAAGTATTATACTTTCTTATCAATCACATCGAATACTTCCCTGACAAAATCCTATTTTAGACGGAAATTAAAGTTTTTCTTTCAAGGAATCGTTTTTTTTTCTTCGACGAGCCATTGAAAAGAATCCCCAAAAAATCGAAACATTTAACTTCTCTTGTCTGACGTTTAACTTTTACAACATACATGCCTTTTTTAGATATGATTTATAGTTATCAATTACACGACCAGAACCGCATTTAGACTATTATTTTCCTTACTATTGAGTTACTTATTAATTCAATAATGTAAACGTGTTGAATTGTATTTTATTGAATTATTGAATTGAAGTATTAAACTCGAAGTATTAAATCGATGAAGATATGGCGCAAGTTTAAGAATCTCATCAAAACGTAACCGAGCGTTTTTGCTGTATGTGCGCATTATCGATTCTGTTTATGTAATGAAATTCCAATTTCGGAACATGTGTTAAGCAATTTTAATTGTGACACCATTTCAGAACCATGCATGCGACCTTAGTGAATGCGAAATCTCAGTACGCGTGAAAAAGTCTTTCAGATTGTCGTGTCGATTTTTTACGCGTGTACGTGAATCTTTTACAAGCATATATTAAAATTTTCCTATATTTCTGTATAATTTCTTGTACTGTCAGAATTAAATATGTACATTCTGTTTTGTAATTATATCGTAAAGAGTTTTCTCGTGTAAAAATACGTATATATAAAGCATAGAACATTTTTAGTTACTTCAGATTAATATATAAATTGATATCTAAATTAAAATGAAGGCCGAAAATCAACAGTAAAAATCAGACGGAAAAAACATTTTTGGAAAAATGAAATGTCATCAATGTATTTGCTTGCTTTTGCAAGTAAGTGCTTTTGTCGTGAATTGCCTCGCGGAAAATTTGATACTTAATATAAACTTCAAGAAATCGATTGCGGTAACTGATCGCGCATTTCTCAGTTTTACTCTGGATCCTACAACGTTGCAGCGCAATGATCTTATGTAAGTATTTAAAAAAAGAAAAATAACTTATGAATATCGATAAAACATTAAAGATAACTTTCCCATTTATAAAAAATTAATATATTAATGATAATATTTTAATTAATCGTTTGTTAATGTTTCATGAAGTTTCCGTTAGAAATTACAATTTTTATTAGATATTTTAATCTTATCGAAAATTTTAATCACAAGAAATTTTAATATTATTACAAAATTATTTTGTGTTATTACCAACGTCAATTGTGTGTTTAAAACTTGAGATAATTCTTTTACACATTTTCACCACTATATCAATGCAATTATAATGATCAAATTTGAGTTTTATTTATTACGTTCTACCTTCCTTTAATTAAAGATAAAAGAAAATACCCTCGTTTACATTATAATAATGTAACTATATAATAATTATAATAATGTAGTTATGTAAGAAAAAAATGTACATTATTATAATTCATATTGTTCAGTAAAAATATCGAGAGAAGCACAAATTTGGCGCGAGGCTTGGCACCTGCTTACATTCGGCTTGGAGGACCACAAAGCAATTTTTACAATTTCGAACAAGCGTATTCGCACGAGATTAATACAGATCCAAATGACATGTATTTTGGTAATATACGACGTTAAATATGTCTGTCTGTCTCTCTCTCTCTCTCTCTCTCTCTCTCTCTCTTTCTTTCTCTTTCTTGTAGATCTGAGATAAAGCCCAGGAACTTTTAGCAAAAAGAAAAAAGTATATATGTTTCAAGGTGTAAATAATAAAAACTTCTTAAATCTTTTAGTTCAGTTATTAACAAAATGTGTCTTTATACTGGTAATACGTGTCACTTATGTGGCAATTTCCTAATTTCATGATCGTATAACGGGCCTGACCGCTATGAGTGCATTGAAAGGATAGCAAGGATGCCAATGGAAGAGAACGATGCTGCAATGGCATAATGTTAATGTCGTTAATCTATTTTGCGGTTGCCAATATAGTTATATGCGCGTCCATTAGCTTTGATGGCAGGAGTGCCTAGTGAATGTTATAACGTCGCGCGTCGGTACAAGCTTTGAGATAATAGTACACGGTTACGAGTTGCGAAAGCGTTAATATTTGCTGATGCAATATTTAGATTATTGCATTCGCTAACAACGAATTAGCTGTCGAATTATATTTATTTAGATTGAAAAGTACGATATGTAGTACGCGAAGAGAGTTGCGCTTCTTATCTAAAATACAAATATTATATACGCAATGCATTCGAATAAATTATAATTCGCTAATACAAAATTACAAATATACACAACCATTTCTGATTATTAATTCGTAAATTTTTAAATAATTTATTTAATTAATTAATCATAAAAGATAAATCAATTCACTAATTGATAAATATATTTGTCATATGTGTCATATTTTTGTCACAAACATACTTATATGTTTTGACATAAAATATATGTATCTTAATTTAACAGAACGTTTGAATTTGACAGGAACGCAATGGACGGTTATATATCAATGGGCGAAGAACGCCGGATTAGATGTAATTGTATGCATCACTCCTCAGTATATTGATAACGAATCGAAAACGGATTCCAAAAATCCCAGAAACATAGCGGAGCTTCTGTCTTTCAGTGATCGCATGGGTTACAATATTAGTTGGCAATTAGGCTATGGTAAGTTTTCCAAAAACTATGCTTTTTTGAAACAATTAATAACAAATGAGATTAGATAAAAACAAAATATCTAATTGCGCAAAATTTTATAAATTTTATTTGTTACAAAATATTTAAAAAAAATAATAGTGTTTTAAAAGTATATATTTAATTGTAAATTGTCCTGAAAGGTATATTCACATTTTATTTACATTTTTAAAATATTTGAGTTGCTTTAAAATATTTTTGCTGTAGAATGTCAAACGAGATGCGACTTATCTGGCGGAGAACTGGGACAATATGTCGCCTACTTGCGCGAAATACTGAAAACTTTCCCAAGATATTCCAATAGCTTAATCATAGGACCAGACATTGTGGCATATAGAACGCCGCAACAACAGAGATATCTACAGAATTATTTGCATTCAGCAAACTCTGCGCTTTCTGCGATTACATGGCATCCGTAAGTGTTTAATTTTTTTGTGTAAATGTTAATTATATAAAAATTCAATGAGAAGAAAATTGTATAAGTTAATCTCAAAAATTATATTTGTTTTTTCCTATATAATCTTTATCATAAATGTATAATATATGTAAGTGTAACATATAAGATATATTTAAAAGCTTATTTTTTACTGAGACAAAATATTATTATAATAAAATAATAACACGAAACATCCTAATAAAAATGTGCAATAAAATCATGTAATATATTAAAACAAAAGCTGAATCTTTCGATAAATTATTTAATATTATTTGATTATTATTTGTTGATTGAATTTTTGTCAATAATTTTAGCGATTTAGACAGCGTTTCTTTAAATAATGACAACATTTCCACACATTACAATTATGATAACATAATTGCTGAAAAGGATGAGATGTACAAAGTTATCAGTCGCGCGGCAAAAGACAAACCATTATGGATTGGTAAGAATATTATACAATTATAAATAAAGTAATAATGTTTGGAAAAGTTTAATTAAATTAAAATTTTAATTCTGTATTTATATATATAAATCTTATATTTATATAATTATTTGTAATATCGACGTTTGCATATATCGCTATATAGCGGAGTCAAAACCAGAAGAGAGCAAATGCCAATATCTAGGAGCGCTTATCTGGACGAGAAGACTTGGGAATGCTGCAAAGCTTGGAATACAAGTTGTGATGAGGCAATTGTCGGATTTATCTCAAGCAACTCCTGTAAGTTACTCATTAATGTAGACAAATATACAAATTCTATTCAAATTTAAATAAATTTTAATTACTTGTCAGATACATAGCTAGTATTATATTATTATATTATAAGACTGTAATATAATATAAAAATATAAACAAAATGTATTTAAGAAATTGTTTATTTTTAAAATGGGATAAGCAAGGTATATAGATGAAATTATAAGAACTTTATTAACAATATCATTTTTCTTTATCAGGAATATTGGGTATCATTATTGTACAAGACTTTAGTGGGTCGTGAAGTCCTAGAAACGAAGTTTCAATCCGAAGATCATGTACACTTTTTCAGTCAATGTACGAAACCCTCGGCACTGTACAGTAAAGGAGCTATTACGATTTTCGGCATAAACTTAACTCCGAAAAATGTGATTGCTAGTTTGAAAAATCTTCAAATCAAAATTCTTCACAAATACATTCTATCACCAGATTTTGAGACTGGCAATAAAATGTTTTCAGAGTAAGTAATTTTGTAATGCATATGTAATATGTAAAGAAAGCACTTACTTTCCATAATATTATGTAAAAAATGTTGCTACAGAATATATTTTATTCAATATACAAATGTACACAAACGTTTTTGCTTACAGAAAAACGTTGTACGTTTTCTGATATATATGTTTTGCAGTAATAAAATATGCAATATAGTATTCCTTTTTACTCATTGTTAATGTGTAGAAACAAATTTATCATTAAATTATAAAAATCATAATTTTTTCAGAAATGTCTTGTTAAATAATAAATCTCTACACTTAATAAACGACAAGGAATTGCCTGATATAAATCCAGAAATCATTATTAACCCTGACGGCCTTGAACTAGAACTTTCTTCTGGCGACATAGGTTTCTGGGTTATACCTAACGCAAAGGTAAATTAAAATTACTTCGTTTGTGTACGCATATCTAATTTAATAATATACCGATATCAAAAAGATATTAATTTAACAGGTAAAGGCTTGCATTCGTTTTGAAGAGGAAGGAATCGAGAACAATACAGTAAAGAAATTATCGAAGCGACATGAAAGTGACGTCCGACAAGATAATCAAGAAGAAAAAGAAGATGAGTCAAGTATAATAGAAGATGATTTAAGAGAAAATATGAATCAGTCAAATTTAAAAAATCAGAAGATTTATGAGAAACAAGACAGAAAAAAACAAAAAAACATGGAAAACACTAAAACTAAAAGTCAACAGGATGTTTGGAATTTTAAATTACTTGCACAAATAAGAAAAATTTTACAAAAACAACTGCAAAAAAAGAATAAAAAAGAGCCATCAAATTTACAAAAATCATTCATGATCGATTTGGGAGAAGAACAAGAAAAGTCATTTGAGGAAATAGAAAAACAGCAAAAGTTAGACAAAAAAGATTTAAAAAAAACGGAAGTTAATGACAAGTTTGAAAACATTCGAGATATATTGAAAAAGTATAAATGCATTCTGCTGGAGAAGAAGGCTGAAATGAAAACCGAAGGTATTCAAGATCTCGAATCAGAAATTCAAAATATTGACAATGCTGTGACGTTAATATCAAAGATCGACGCCCTTCTTCTTAATAAAGTTACTTCAAATGAGTCTATTATAAGTGAAATCAAAGATAAAACAAAGAACGAAGAAGAATCAATAGCTAGAATAAGTAAAAAATTAACAGAATATTTAATCGAAATAGCAAATTCCACTGAAACAAAGTCAAATATAATAAAGAAAATAGAAAAGTACTTCAATAAGTTCTATAATTTGCTAAAAAACGATAATTCAGCAAAGAACAGCAAGAATAGTCAAATTTTTGTCCATGAAGATTTAATGAAGGAAAAAAGATTTAAAAGACATTTGGATAAAAAATCAGAAAATTCGAAAAAAATCAGGATACTTAAAAAGCGCTCACAAATAAATAATTTAAAAGATTATATGTTTAAACAAAAGATAAAATGGAAAAATGACGATGGAAAAAAACTAATTTTGTCCGACAACTCAAACAAAAACTTTGATAATAATGAGAATAAATATAATAATCTGCTTCAACGGGATCCTATCAAAAGATTTTTTAAAAATATTGCTTTTGAAAATGCTGCTTATCAAATCGATTATTATCAACATTTAGTCCAAGAACATAAAAGAAAAGAAAACGATAGTATCTACAGGAAGCGCTCTAAAATTGGAAATATGGAAAAATATCAAAGTTTAGTGCAAGAACCTGAAAGAACGAAAAGGGATATTAACAAAAAATTAGTCGAGATAGGTGTGAGGAGAGATAACACTTCCATCAGAAAACGTTTAAGAATCGACGACTTAAAAAATTATGCAAATGAGAGGAAGACAAAACAGAAAGATGATATCAAAAAAGAAGGATTGTTGGTTCCATTTAATCCAAGAATTACTGATAGCGATGAAAACAACTTTTACGGTTTCTTTCGGCGAGATCCTATCAAAGGATTTCCTGAAGGTGATATTTTTGTGACTACGGGGGATTCGTTAGAAAAAAAAGAAAATGATTATGATTATGTTGAAGATGAAGGCAATGGTAATGATGATTTAGAGAAGGAAAACATGCAAAACAATCAAAAATCGATGTTAAGCCATACTGAAGATACTTGGGTTGAAAAAGTTGAAGATGATAACTCCAATTACATGCCAAATGAATTTTTTGAGAACATTAAATTAACTAATACAAGAATAAAAGAAAATTCTAAAAATTATGATGATCTATGGGAGGCAGAATTTCTTTCTGAAGAACATAAAAATAATAATAATAATAATAACGAAATTACTGCTGCAGAAGTTATTCAAAAGCCGTCTAACGAAAAAAAAGAAAGAGAAACGAACATGCAACACACACAGTTACTTAACTATTACGACGATTCCGAAAAGCAGGAATATGATCGGGACGCACTACGACCGGCTTCAAAATACTCGTCGATGCCTTTTGATCAACTTTCCAAAACACCAACTTCCAATATCAATTATCAAGCATCGAATGTAAAACTTAAAGAAGCGAAGTTGGAACCAGAAACAAAAATTTCTTTTTATGTACCTTCTCAAGCTTCTACTGCGAGATACAATTATGGTAATTATCAGACATCAAATATAAATTACGATAATATAAAATTAGAAGACGAAAAAAGCTTTGTTATGAAGATAGATAGTAGAGACGATATTAATGCAAAAACAACTCAATATTCTAGACCTACTAGTGTATACGCAGAACATCCTATTCATGATAAAATTTTTCATAATGAAAGAAATAAAAGAAGCAATTGGGAAGCGCTTCGAAAAGTTTTTGCTGAAGAAATGATTAAGGAAGACGAAGAAAATGCGAGAGATTGCCATTGTAGGGTCATCCGAGCTTCCGATTCGCCGAAGAAGCTTTATTATCGTCGTGTAAAACGTAATATTTTACCTACAGCCCGATTTACAGATACTTCTTCAGAAAATAAAAGTACGAATACAAACGTTGCACAATCTAAGAAAAATGTTCACACTCCTATGACAAGAGAAAAATACGATGAAATTATGGCGGGAGAGATACTTCCAAGTACAAGCATTATCGAGCCCGTTTCTGGAGAATTTGGTACAACTACGGAATCGGTAATCACAGATTCAAGTACACTGGATCATAAACTAAGCGATACGACGCAGGCGATTGATGTAACTTCAATATCAGAAGTGGACAATATTCCCGAGCAATATCATAAGAAATCTACTACTAATCTATTACCTATAGACTCAGCTTCAGAAATGTCTCTAAATAACAATAATAGTGTTAAATACGTCACAAAGGAAACGTTTTTTCGTTCCCAACCATCAGATGTCCAATCAAAAAATAAGACAAAGGCGTATGATTCTTCCCAAGTTATTTCTAAGATTCCTTTGGAAAATGAGGGCAATCGGGAAGAGCGTATTGTCTCCGTTACTAAGAACGCACAAGAAACAACCTGCGAAAAAGTACAAGACTTCATCAACGAAAAGGAGAAAGCCGACAATTCAATCTATCCAACAACCACCGAAAATCAGAAAAACGAAGAAGGGCACAACAATAATTATAAAACTGGATTGAACTCAACTAATTTCTTCAAAGAAACATCAAAGGGAATTGCCGGGCAAGTGACAACGGAAACAATTTTGTCAAAACGAGCAGCAAATACAGCAAATGATAATTCAAAATCAAATAAATCCAAAACAAATTCAAAATTACTTCGAAACATACATGATAAACAGAATAGTGAATCAAAAGCTCAAATGGGGAAAGTTCATGTCAATACGAAAAGATTAAAGATTACCTTAAAAAAATCTCCTCTAGCATCGTTAGAAGGATTCACCAGAACCGAGGAACACTTGGTGAGACGCACAGAACAGATTGATAGGCTGAAAAAAAAACTGCACGCAAGACGGGAAAAATTGTTGCATCAATATCAAAATGAATTGACAGAGATTGCTGACGAACAAAAGAGGAATTTAAAGAGAAGAGAAGCATGGGAAAAACTTCGTGAAAGTGATGATTTTCGTCGATTTATCAATCAGAAAGCGTTTGTTGGAGTTCTACTAAATAACGATGTTACCTATGAAGATGACGATGAAAATTATTTAATTTCTATCGAACTTGTTCCTAAACAATATAACAATATTATAGATCAAATGAGTTCTCTTGACCGAAGGGATGTCAATCGAGCTGTGAGCAATAAAAAAGCAGGTGAATTAAACAATATAGATAAAAATCTTAAAGTAGATAATTTGGATTCAACGTTTGCAATAAATAAAAAAACAGGAGATTTTGGAACTGAAACAAGCATAAGAAATAAGAAATTTGCCAGTTCCGATAATAGAAAAAGAGATATAATGCATTCAAAAACAACTGAAGATGCTGAAGAAGTTATAAAGACTAAAAAATCTGAAAATGTTGAGCTGATAAAACATGAAGAAATTAATAAATCTTACAATTCAAATGACAAAGCAGAACACAATTTAAATATTAATAAAATGTCTAACAATAACATAACGGACGAATATGTTGAAAAAAATATTGATAATGATCTTAAAGCGAGAGAGCTTGGAAAAGAAAACATGCGAACACGGAGAGACATTGAAAAACTAATCGGCGAATATATGGGGCAATCTCTACAGTTCCGGTAACGTATTTTTTTATTTCTTTACTTATATATTTAATAATTAAAAAATTCACGCTTAATTTAAAAAGTTTATTCTTAATTTTTTCAATTCTTATTTTTATTAGCATTAATTTGATATTGTTCTATTCTTAGACTAATTGAAGCTGAAAATGTGAGAGATGAATTAAATCGTATGCGCATCTTTTTGGAGGAAGAGCCCTTGAAGGAGATATTTAATGATCGATCATCCCCTATCATTCTGGTGATAAAAAAAGATATACCATTAAGCGCTGATTTGTTCCGGAGATCAAAAAATGACTTAGTTTCTTCGAAGAGAGATTTCAAAGTTAATCAAGAGAACGAGAAAGAACGTGAATCAAATTATATCACTCTTATACCGATTAAAATCAAGAATATTTACGAGATGTTAGATGCAAAGAATGATGATTTGTTGGACATTTCTGAACGATGGGACGATCTGGATGTACTAAGAAAAATACCAAATTCAATGAATGAATATCTAGATAACGAATATCTAGATGACGAAGCATCAGAGGAATTTGAATATGAAGATCTTTCAAATCTGCAAAATGAGAATATTGAAAATATTCCGGACAAAGAAACTTCATACGAAAATGAGCAAGATGTTTCTGTGGAAGATAGTGAAGCCGAATCGGAAAAAGATAAACAATATGAAATTATAAGCGACAAAATCGATAAGTATTTAAAACTAAAGAGCGAAATAGGATCTAATGAACGTGGATTGTTTTTATTGCTTCCCTGGAGAAACATGAAGAAACATGAAAAAAGGCTGAAAAGACAAATAAAAAATAAGATCAATAAAGACATAGCTGAAATAAAACGTGAGGTAAATATCTTAATCTAGGAAAAAATTATTTTAATAGATTATTTCTTAATTTTTTTAAATTATGTGTTATTATTTTATATTTTATATTAATGAATGCAATATTCTCTTCTCGATATTATTAATACTATCTTATTTTAATACACCATTTTATTCTTTTACAAGGTTACAAGGCACTCACAATCGAACAAACCCATTTTGGCTAAAGATCTAAAAAATAAACGCACTAAGAGATATTTAAATAATAATATTGACCAAGAAGAAGAAGAAAATATAATAGAGACAAATGATATAAAAACAAATTATTTACAACCTCAAACAAATAGAAAAAATCGCGACGATCTTCTTGAAGATTTCATAAAAGCACATAAAAAGAATAATTTGTATAATAATGAAGCTTCTTCTTTAAAAAACGAAGACAAAGATATAATTATACCATTAAATAACATTTCAAAGAGTAATAAAAAATTATTGCAAAAAGCAAAGTTGCGAAATCATATGGAATCTGTAGAAAAATTTGTCGATGACTCCGAGGAGAAATTCAATGACACTTTAACGCCGGATGAAGATAAACATCACAGAAATGGGACTTCCGGAACTACTGGCAATGCTTTCTATACTGCAATTATGAATATAAAAGATTTTTTTCAATTTTCTCAAAAATTTCTCAAATATTTAGGCCTAAATTTTAAATAATTTTTAATAAAAATATAATTTTGCATATTATTGTATATAATAACTTAAATTCTTAAAATGTATGTGAAAAATATATGCAATAATATATATAAAAATATCTAAACTATAAGTATTTACATATAATAATGCTTTATATTATTTAAACATATATTTATTTATACATATACATATATGTATAAATTATTTATATTTATAATTACACAGGATCGTTTTTAGTAGTATAACAAGATAAATATAGAAGAAAATGAGATTGTATATGAAAAAATAATTTAAAAATGTAAAGTTTTTTGGTATATTTTATAAAGAAATAGAAAGTTATATAAAAAATTTATGTTATTTTTCAATTTTTTATTGATTATCTTGAGAACAAAATTTTATATATTTCCATATTTTTAATTTATATACATTTTCATGTAAAATTGTTATACCCGTGTATTTGTAATTTGTAAAATTTCTTTATACAGTTTCGAAATGTATTATACGTATTATAAAGTTATATTATCGTTAAGAGATTTGTAATATGTGTTTATAAATGCTAATCAGAATATGTATTATTTATTACAATTAAATAAAACAGGGAAACAGTAAATATAGGAATTAAGAATGCATTAAATGGCAATAAATAGAATTATTCTTAACAAATAAAATAATTTGTAAAAGTCCTTTTGCATTTTAAGCCTCCTGAAAATCAATTCAACTTTCCTATTTAGTTAAGTTAATTAATATTAGATTAAAGATTAATCCTGCCGTAATTATTTTAAGAAAATGCAGATGCATTTTGCAATTGCATTATAATTGTGATCGTGATGTTCTTCATATATTCGTAGAATTGCGAGGAATATTACAACTATAAACAATTCTTAAGAAAATTAGGTCACTAATGATTGAATTAAAAGTTGTCCATACCCATACATATATACGATATGCATATACTGTTGCGACATAATTAACGACATAAATTTCATAACAATGTGATGATAAGATATATATACAATCATTGAATCATCGTATAATACAGTGCACTTTTGATCATGGTCGAGTTCAGTTCGTTTTTGGAGACGTCAGTACAAAGTAAATTTCGCCGTATATTTATTATGTAACATTTATACCTTTCAAATAATTATTAATATAATTTATTATATTATTTTAATAACTATAATCCGTCCAAATATTAATTTAGATAATTCTAACAACTTTCATTTTCTTAGTTGTTACATAGTGTTCAGTAAATTGTAATACAATCTGTGAAACAGAATTCTTGTCAGTTATGTTATGATTTGCGTTTATGATTGACGTTATATAAATATTATAATTATAACTATATTATCTTTTTGTACAATGTAAAAAATTTTGTGTTTATAATCAAGGAGCACGATACATCAATTAAAAATGACAGTGATCAATATGTATGAGAAAATTACTTTGTGTCTTTGGATCTTATTTGTGATTGCCCGTTCGGAAGAAGTTTCTACTGCTAAAAATGTGGAAACTGCAGATTTCTCAAATTTAAGGTAAATAATATTTATATATTTATTAATTAATTAAAGTAGAAAAGTAAAATAATTAGTAAAGCAGAAAAAATTCTGAACCTCTTCAAAGAGGAGAAGACCATGATTTTTTTTCAATTTTATATAAAGAAAGTTTAATTTTAGAAAATATATAAATATATAAATAAGTTTACTAAAAGTAACCGGATTTATATTAAAAAATTAAATAATATTTATATACTTTAAGAGAAACAATATGTATAAACAATAGTAGTGTATATGGATAAAACCAAAGTAAAATAATTCATGAAAAAACACATGTATATTATAACTTTATCATTACATTAGATCTGAAGGGATTAATGTAATATAAAGTAATTAATTGAAATTAAAAATTTCATAAAAATCCGAAATTTATCGAAAACAACGTTACAATTATCTTATCTACAATAAAGTATCTTTTTCCATATTAATATAAAACACATCATTATTCTTTTATTTTAATTTAACATAATATGATCTTTTTGAAGCTTTATTTAACTCGAATAACCGTATTCGAATTGCGAACGTAAAAGTATGTTAATCGTAATTGCACAATTGTTTGTCAGCATAATTATTAATGTCAATCATATTACGTTTCGTACACACAATAACCTGCCTTTGTCACAATAAACTGCTGAATTGAGAATTTTGAATCTAGAATTATCAGATTGCCTGGCAACATCGATGTAAGATGTAGATAAATTAAATGTAAAATGAAAAAATCTATTTCAAATAAAAAATAATTTTGATTTTGATTTGAATAAATTATTCAAACAATTTAAAATTGTTATCAATTTTATTAATGTACATTCTAATTTATATAATTGTCAAACTGTGTGTACATAAAACGTATTCATCAAATTAGCAAGTTCTTTCTGAACAAATATTTTATTACTTTTAGATTATCAACAGTTCTACCCTATCCATCACTATACAATGACGAACATGTTATAAAAGATAATTCAAAGAGATCGCTCATTTTATTAATGCCACTATCACAAACACGAAATGAACATGAAAAACCAAAGGGAACAATCCAAAAGACAAAACGTTGCGGTACACAACATCGAAAAAATAGATTTTTGTTATTATCGACAAAGGAAGATAGTAATAAAATAAGATCTACTGATAAAAATATTAATGTGGGAATCTCTAAGCAAAACTCAGATGACCATATCATAAAAAACGCAAAATACTCGCAGAAAAAATCGCCAGCGTCAAAAAGAATGATAGCTGAAACACTTGAGGATGAAATGATTCTGCGAGCTCTCAAAGACAATTTAAATGCGGAGGATGTAATTATAAATTTAAAGTCTCAAGAAAAGGCAAAGAAATGTAATACAGAAAAATATATTTGCCATTGCAAAGAAGAAAATTGTTTCTCTAGTTCATCAAAGAAAAGTTCTTCAGGAATGTTAGATTCCTCCAGAATAGACAAACCTGAAAAAACAAATTATCGAAAACTAATAAAATATGAAAACGCCAAACCAGATATCTTACAACAAAAATCGCCAATATTATACCACGAAAGTCTTCATGAATTGCCTCTACCTAATCTGATCGATCATTTCTCAATACCTTATCAAGAGAGATTAAACATTCCCCCTGTCCCAGTTCTATATGGAATAATACCAAATGTTTCACCTCACATGATTGAAAATGAAAGAAAATATATTAATGTCCCATTTGAGGACAGATCAAATTATTTAGTTGGAAGTAACCAATATCAACCGATTATTCGTGAAAAACCATGCATTTGCTCACTTATAACTGAAAGACATCAAGATGAAAGTTCTATGTCAGTTACTTCACCTTCGACAAACTACGTTGACGCAACCACTATTACGGAAGCGACAAATGATCTTGAATCAAATAATCTGATTGGTCAAACTGAAGAAGATCAAGAACATTTTCCTAAATTGACTACAGAAGCTTCGAATGTAGATTCATCAGCGAATTTAGAAACAGAAACTAATTTACACTTGAATTATTATTCGACTGATGTAACTGAAGAAAGTAATACTATAAGTTCTTTTAATTTAAATAAAGTCACGCCCAAATCTCAAGATTTTACAGAACAAACCGAAAGAAATCTAGATAATAATCTCTCTAAGCTAATGACATATTCGACAGATTATGTTGATATAAACAGCACACCATCCTTCGTCTATGACGGAACGAATGATGGAAAACTTATAAACATGGAAGAATGCATACAGCTATTTGGTCGCGATGTATGCGTACTCAGCGCGACGTCACCAAAAATGCTTGCTAAACAGGTGCAAGAAAATAATCTTAACAAGTATTCTACGATTAGAATTCCGGAATATATTACACAAATGGCCGCTAGAAAAGAAACAACGTTGAACAACATTGATTACTCAGACAAAATCAAAACAACTGACCCATACTTTACATCGGAGTCGTCCACTAACGGAATCAATAAATCAAATTTTAATTTAAATAAATATATTGAATCAACAAGTGCAAAATCAAATGCTAACGTTGATGAAGCTTCTCTACGTGAATTTCATCAATATCCAAAATCTATCGAACAAATTTCTAGGCCAGATGTTAACTACGATAAAAATAAATCATTTAGTACTATAAAAAATATACATACTTCAATGAAAAAATTGACGGATCCAATAGCTGATAAGATCGCGAAGACAGAAAGAAATAAATTGTTAGGAAAGAGTAAAAGTCATACAACTAAATTATTGTTAAATCCAAATGATGAGGAAATAGCAAGTTCAACTTCAGGTGAGAAATTCCTTTATTCTACTCCTTCATATAAATCTAGCAGTGATGAAGAAGTAAACAATTTGAAGATTAATCAACAGAATCAAATAACAAATACAAGTTCCAATTCAAATACTTCTCCTAAAGAAGAAACGACAGTTATTAGTTACAATTCTAAAACCGGATATAATTCTAAAGAGCAAAATATAAACTACTTAAAAGAATCAAATACGGATTCTGAAAAGAAAATTCCTCAAGAACATTTTAAAGAAAAGACTACCACTAGTTCTAATTCCATAACCGGATATAATTTTGAAAAGGAAACAAAAAAGGAAATAATAGGAATAGAAGCCAGCGTTCATCCGGGAGAGATTTCTCAAGAACAATCAACAACGACACAATATTTCGATGATAAAAAATCAAGTAATTTAAACCACGAAGAAAATACCACCAACAATCTCGAAGCACCCATCGATTCTTCAACGAGCAGATTACCATTTTGTGATAATACGTTGCTTTTAAATTCCATCAGGAAGGTCATAAATGATTTTGCATTAGATGCTCGCTTAACTAGAACAAAAGATTTTGATGAAAGCATTCTTCAAACGCAAGGTAAAAATTTACTGCCAGAAATTCTGCAAGTTCCGAATCTGAAGAATATCTTGTCGATGCCGCAGATAGAGAATACGATCGTAGAAAAAGTAAAAGATGTTTTGTCTTATGTCACAGCTATTCCCAGAAAAGATTTCACAAACGATTGGTCACATGGTGTGATCAAAAACACTTTACACAGCATATTGAATGCTCTCTCTGGTTTTCATCACAAGCTCCCACCAATGACACTCGAAGAGCATCAATTCAAAGACGGACAATGGAAGACCAACTTAGTGACTTTAGCACCAATTTCAGATCAAAAGTTGTCGGAAGGAACACCGGAAAACTTGCGGGAGAGTATCAAATATCTTCTAAGCTCTCCGGCAATCGCGTCGCAAACAGATCAGCCTATCGTGCGGAATATGATTGTGCAAAGCGTGAAAAATAGTTTTACCAACGATGGAGATGATAAAATGGATTCGATAATTCATGCACTAAATGATGTTCTCCAGATGTTAAAAAATTCAAAAGATATTAATGCATTAGAAAAAAGCAATGAAGTTATTAGTGACGAAGAAGATACGGACATGACTTTCTCACAAGAAATTCCAACAAATAATTATGAAATAGGAAAAAGTGTTGATAATTCAACATTAAATAACAAACAGAATCTCGACATCAAAGAAGATAAAATGGACAATAAGAAAATGCAGATCACAGACTATCAGAAAGCTAAGACATTAGAAAACAACGCAAATATATTAACTACTTCTGAATTTCCGCATTTATTACAATTATCTGGAGAAGAAGAAGAAACAACGAATAAAGTCATTGCTAAAATAAATGAAAATATTAAAGATTTTGGACAAATAAAGAAGATAGATGTGCAAGATAATGCAGAAAAGAAATTAGTTGAACCACTGCAACCTAAAATAACTTATCACAAAGCAATTTTACAAAATAATCCTAGCATATTAGAGACTCTTAAACCAGATTCAACAAAAGCTGAACAATACATAAAAAGCCATCGCATCGATGAAGAAAGTGTTAAAGATACAGCAACAATAAAAAATTTTATACAAGAAACTTCACCTAATTACGCACAAATATCAGATGGCATAATTTTAGAAAATACGGCAAGTACTAAGGACATTGAAGAGGAAGTAAAACATGCATTAAATGAAAAAACATCGACCACTTCAACTGAGATTGATCCATTAATAATATTAGAAAGAATTAAGTTTAATTTGCCACCAACAAAGTATTATTCGCCAGAGACTTTAAAATATGGGACAAATCATCGTATTGATGATAAAAATGTTGAAATTATGACAGCATCCAAAAACTTTATGCAAGAAACTTCATCCAATTATGCACAGGTGTCGGATGGTGTGATTTTAGAAAATACAGCTGAAATTAAAGATGACGGAAAAATGGAATATCCATTAACTACTACATCTGGTAATTTAATTTCATCCACAAATGTAGAACATAGAGATTATAAACCCAACATTATTTCAACAGGAAATGTTTTAGAATCGCAACAGAATTCACAGCAGAATTTCACCGATGATAACATTATTAAAATCCACGAAGTTACTACGGAGATTCAACGAACTTATGCAAAAACTACGTACTTCAAAGCAGGGCTTTCGAGTGACGATAGCTCAAGAATTAGTTCGCCCTCGTTAACTTGTGAAACTACAGACATACGTGTAAATAACAACGATAATGGTGATAGCGATAACGATAACAACAATATAATTGGCAACAAAATAAATAATATTGATAATGTCATAAAAGCGAAGGAAATAATTGTTTCTTCTTCCAAATCAGCTGCTAAAAATGATATCGATCTTCCTCAGCTATTTCCTTCGTCAATTGTTCCCGATGATATCTCGGAACTTCAGAGATCGCAACTTTATTACACCAGTGACGGCATGAAATTACCGCTGGAGATAAAAAAATTAGAAGATGGTTCTTACGCATTATCGATCTCCAAAAATATATGCGAGCAGATTCTAACAAGAAAATGTCCCTGCTGTGTGCCGCTGCAAGGATACGTAGTTCAATCATTAAAAAATCATCAACAAGAAGATATGCATGCGATGACTTTAACGACTACGGAAAAGAAAAATCAAGAAGATACGTATGTAAATAACATTAAAAGAGATAGTCAATCGGTTCAACCATTTAATACATTGATAACGAGGAGAAGCGCCTTGAAGACGCAAAAATCAAAAGAAGAAGAAAAGATAAACGCACACCATCCATTGAATCAAAATGACAATAATCTAGCAATCATTTCGATGCCCGTCATTGATTTCGCAAAAAAATACAATCTATTGCTCGATTTCAATGAAAAAAGAATACTATTTAACGAAGTCGGATTGCAAAACAAAATGCAAAGTTATGATAAGTTATTAATGAAATCAGGAACAGTATCTGAATACGATCAGTCAGAGGAAACAAATCTCAATAATTATCCTAATAATGAGAAAAATAGATTAGTGGGTGAAAATAATGACGCAATTGATAAAGTTCAAGATTTGATAAATGTTCGCGAAAAAAAGGATATTCCGAATATAAATTCCCCGATACTTCCAATTACTAACAAAATTTTTAACTTGGGAAAGAATTCTGAAGAATTTGAAATACGAAAGGTAAATGCAGAAATAAATCGATTGGAAATAGGTCAAGGTTCAAAATTACGTGAAACCGCAAACGATGTTCAAAAAATAAATCTTGTACAGAAGATAAATTTCGAAGATCGAGAAAAAACCAATCCTGTTCTTGAAGAAATTAATATTTCCGGAAGGTCAAAAATAAGCAAAGAAGAAATGAAATGGAACAAATTATCGGACATTGCAGAAGGTAATTACCATATATAACTCGCAATAATAATTTTAAGATAAAAAGATATGAGAAAATAACGGAAATAACTTTGTTTTAGGAAATACTAATAAGGTTTTCCGCAAAAAGGAAAATAAGGAGCATGAAGCAACGGTATTGACCGACAATAAATATAACGTTCCAGAAATTAAAAATTTTAAAGAAAATATTGGAAAGTCGTCTAGATATCAACGAAATACAAATGACGTTGCAAATAAAGGAACAGAATTAGTAAAATCTGTGCTTTATTGGCTCAAAGGTCTTTTCGTAAATAAGCAGTAAATAGTAAAGAATGACCTTTAATATATGTATAAAACACTTTATTATTATTAAAATATTCTTTATGTATGTATATAATATTTTTAATAGTTCTTATAAATTGTATAACATTCAACTTTATCTTTTCGTTGCTATGTTTCAAAATTTGCAATAATTAAAAAAGAAATTATTGTATTATTAAATATTATTAATCAAATAAAATGTAATAATAATTCTTACTTTTTTATTTCTCTTTTACCTAAATATAATCAAAACCTTATTAAATATATCAAAATTATATGTGTCTTTTGATTATTATACACTGACGAGATATTAAATTATTAAAGACTATCAATCCTGGGCAAATTATCTCAAGACACTATATCAATGGGGCTGATCAGTCGAGGCCCGGAGATAATTAAAGATTATCGATATTATCGACTGTAGATTTTTTGATTATACTAACAAATATATCTGAATAATTAGTAAATATTAAGTTCGTAATGTATTGACGTACATATATTCATCAAAATTAATATACACATATCATAAATAAAAATGCATGATAGTTATCGATCGATGGATAATCAAATCCGGATGATAACAATAAAATTGTAGTTTGTAATTAAAATTTAATATCGAAATAAAAATTAATATTATTTTATGAGTTATTAGCTACTTACATTTTAACAGTCACGCAACTTCCATAAGATTGTCTTCAATAGTAAGAATTCAAGTAATGTTTTATCGAATCAAATCATATAAGCAATAACAAATCACAAATTTTATAACAGATATGATTCGGTATATTTTTATTTCAAAAGAATCCTCATTTCTTCAAATATAAAAATAATTTATATCAGGTGTGAGAATGACGTAATCGACGTAATCTACTAACCTGACAACATAACCTTGAAGACTTTATGAGTCAGGACAGTCAGGCAGTCAGGCAATAGGTTATGTCGATCAAATAACGAATGCTTTGACGTTTCTGTCGACGCGATTCGGACATGGGCTTGTTTGGGAAGTCGCAGGAAAAGAATCCTAAAGAAATGGTGAGTTGCTTTAAAATATTTTTTTTTTACTCTCATTTATTGGCGTTAATTATATATTATAGGTTCAAGAATGGACTCACAAATTGAGGAAGGAAGGTTATCAGCTTGACAGGCAGGTTAGAGGTAAGATATGTAGAAAAATTTCTTAGAAAAGTTTTTAAAATCGAAAAATAGAATCGCAATTAATCAGCAAAAAATCTTAATATGAAATCTTAATATTAAACTCTTAATCTTAATTTTAGAAACTTGAAACATTAAATTATAGATATATCAGGCACGGAAATATTGAGATTTTAATTTTTACATTAGATAAAAATCTTTGTCAAATCTAGGAAAAATATGATTTTAGAAAGATTCTTAATATTTTTTTAAAATCTTTAGAATTCTTGAAATTAATCTAGCCTTTTTCCTTTTACATGATTCTCTTTTTATTGATTCCTAGATATTATTCGTATAAATGTTGCTTTTTTTGTTTAGCAATTCAGAGAGAGGAAGAGAAAGTTAAACGTTCCCTAAAGGAAGCAGCAAAAAAAGGAGATAAAGATGTATGTAAAATCCTTGCAAAAGAGATTATAAGGGCACGTAAAGCTTGCAATAAGATTTATACTTCCAAAGCGCACTTGAATTCTGTATCGTTACAAATGAAAAATCAGTTAGCAACAATCAGAGTTGCCGGTTCGGTCTCTAAATCTACAGAAGTGATGCAAGCAATGCAGTCTTTAATAAGAGTACCCGAAGTAGCCGCAACCATGAGAGAAATGTCAAAGGAGATGATGAAAGCAGGTATTATCGAGGAAATGTTAGATGAAACGATGGATTCTATTGAGGATTCTGAGGATATGGAGGATGAAGCTGATGAAGAAGTTGATAAGGTAGATCGTTATTAGTAATACTATTAGTGAATAAAGTGAAATACATTAGAAAAAAAAAAACAATTCAGAACTTTTCAACTTATTTTTTATTAAGGAATAACGCTATGTAGTTAGTAGATGCTCTATTTTATTACGTATTTTATGCATGATGCATTAGAAATACTTAAAAAGATTGTAACAAATAATTTTTAGAAATTTTTCATTAAACTCAATATATACAAATGATCACTATAAGATAAAATTCCTTTATATTCTCTCTCAGATTTTATGGGAAGTGACAGCTGGCCAATTGGGCACAGCTCCCGCGGTTGTAACAGAAAATCCTGGAATTCCTTCTACCTCTGCAGAAGAAGAAACAGAAGAAGATGACAAAGAACTTGAAGAGATGAAGAACCGATTGCAAACTCTTCGCAGTTAGATGAATGATTAAAGAATGTTTGTATCATACAAATGTCAGGGAAATAAGTATCTTAATAATAACATTTATTAAATAAATAACACAAGTTATAAATAGTAGCACTTGCCTATTTATCATAATGTTATTTTGCTATTTAATGTAAATATTGTATTATCATATTGTAGGTACTGTCGCTTTATAGAATAAGCATTTTAAGCACTGTATATCTTTACATTCATTGTTCAATAATAATTTTCTTTAGACTTACAATTATGAATTATTATGAAGAGAAATTATGTAGATTAAATTAAAGTTAAAAGTAAATTATATGATACATATTGCTAAAAAATTTTAAAAATCAAAATTAAGAAAAAATTACAAGAGAGAGTAATTGAAATTAAGCTTTTAGATAATCTAACTTTTCTCATCTTTTATATTTTGTTATAATATGTTCAAATTTACAAGTATAATAGAAAAACTTAGAATTTGGGTCTTAACATTTACAATCTTTTATTTTTTAGTTTGCGATTTATTTTGATATTTGCTTTAAATTTTCAAGTTATTTATGAGTTAAAATGGAAGAAAACATACAGCTGCAGCAAAGCAAACTCAAGCTATCTATACAGTATTGATGATTATTAATTACTGTTAATTATTTAAACAATTTGAAATATAATGTTGAAACTTTAACAACTTTATAGTGAGATGAATTTTATGTTGAATAATATTGTTAACAAATAAACTGTAATATAATATTAATATTATTATCGTAATTTATTTTTATTATGACTGTATATCCGTTTAAGAAAGAACGTTGATCGGTTGGATTTTATTTAATAATGCTTCCTTTATTGAGCATTAGAAAAAACAATTCAGAACTTTTTAACTTATTTTTCATTATGGAATAACGCTATGTAGTTAGTAGATGCAAACTATTTATTTAATAAACATAATAAGAATTAAATCTATGAACCAATTTATAAAAATTGTTTCACTTAACATAAATTTTATTTATAATGTTACAATTATTAATATTATTAATGCCTTATATAAATACATAGTAAAAATAATATTCTTCGATTATGTGAACATATATCTATATATCTCGAAAGAGAGATTGTTTTTCTTCTTTTACAAATGAATTTACGTATTGTGTGTTATAGAGAAGAAATATTCCTTAAAAATAATATATTTAATGATTAATATACAATGTACGTATATAGCTCAAGCATTCATATAAATTTTCTCTGCAAGATCTGTGTTTATTTCATTTGGCAGAGAAACTGTGTTTATACTTGAAAGGTATCTTTGATTATACATTTCTTTTCAAGCAATCGTTAATTACTTTTAAAAAGTTTCTTTAAATCGTCTATCAAGAAGACACCTCTATAAATTGTGAAAGATGTGAAGATATTTACAGATAATTTGCTTGTGGCATCTATCTCTACTAAAAAAAGATCTTTATCTATAATATGTATAATATATCATCATATATTTTATCATATCGTATATATTACATTGTCCAAGAAGGACAAGAAATCCATAATTGAAAAATAAAATATGAAGATTACCGCTACCTTAGAGGGAAAGAGAAAAATATACACAACAATGGTTCTCCTTTGTAGCACAATTTCTCTGTCAATTTTCACACTACAAAATGTGCACTAGCTGTGTAGGTGTATGTGTGTGATTGTGTGTAGTAACCCGCGAGCGCACACATACATGCACCCACCATTATTAATACAGAACACGCAGCTAATTAATATGTGCGTTTATTAAACTTATTAAATAAAATTAAAAGTGGACTTCGAATCGGTGACAAAAACGGCAAACTTGTAAATTATGTGATTTTGTGAAAGATAATCTTAGTGATTTTTAGAAATGTATTTCAAAATCTAAAAACTAAAGTTTTCAAACCCCATCCACTTTTTTGCTCGACGATCCCTTTGTTCTAAGAAACGCCATTTCCAAAATTGATTACACAATTTTTCGCAAAATTACATTTGTATTTATTTATATCATTCAAATTTATTTATATCAGGCTTTTAAATTTTGCTGTATACAAATTATTGACAAAACTATCACAAACAAAATTATCATCATTAACTTTAATGCTTAAATTGAGTTTTTGCTACAAATATTAAATTATGAGCTTATAAATATGCATCGATAGTTAAATCATAGAAATGTAACAAATTATTTTTGTAATCATTATTTATGCACAAAACATAAAATTATCATTTAATTCTTGGATTTTTCCTTTATTTTTAAAAGTTATTTTGCGAAACATTTTTTCAATCGTTTGTATTGTTCAAATAAATAAGCAAACTTTTGAAGAATTCTTGAACATTATCCTATATGACAAACTAATTGAAGAGCTTGTATTAAGTATAAATAGTATTCGTAAATTTCGTCAAGTATTTTCTAATCAACAAGCTCATGTAAAAATCTTGATTCTAAAATATATATTTTTGCAACTTCAGAGTTGATCGATTACCATGTTAACGATTGACAATTTCAACGTCGCCCTAGCCTGTGTCGGTAGCCGACGCATTAGCGGTATCATTTTTCTAAAGAAATATTTAATTTCATCCTTGATAGGAAACATAGTTCTTCTCATGGTTCCCGTAATTCTTTTTTGTCGCTTTACTTTCTTTCTCTTCGCCGGAATTTTCTTCACTTTCTCCAACTCCTTAAAATACTGTTTTCCTTTTACCTGCATTAGTATTAAGAGTTATTAAAGTGAATTATTATTCATGAATACAATTACAAATGCAAAATAATTTTTTATTTACTTATTCGTTAATTTTCAGTTGTCATTTTACCACACTTGTATATTATTGTATTTAATTTACAAGAAAAGGACACTGCTTATATGTATAAACTTGATTGTTCTAAATTATCGGTGACATTTTAATTACTAAAAATTACGAAGTTACAAATAATTGTTATTCCTAAATACATTTGCAATTGTATATTCGTATAATCATATAATCGTTATTAATAACAAACAAGAAAATATTTTGTTCAACACTGACCTGTACTCCGTCTTCTAAAATCTCCAACTGCGGAATCACTTCATCCTGCATTTCTATTTCATTAGAATTAAAAGTCTCTTCTGCAGGTTCTGAAGAAATTGATAGCTCTACTAGATTTTTATCTTTATTTCGTTTCGTATTTTGTAATTTAACAGAAGCTTGGCCGTTATTCTTTTCCCAAATTTCAAGTTCATTTGGACTACTTGTCACGTTCCTTGTCTTGTTTTGCTTTTTCGCCTTTGACAATTTCTGCTGTTGTTGTGGTTGCTGTTCTTGTTCTGGCAAATTTATTTTGATTAGTAGTCCTGGGGGAATACTTGATAAACTATGAACTGGTATCGGAGTACCAAGAGTTGATATATTTGATATATCTCCGGTAAACGGCACTATAATTTTTTTAATATTTGCCTGATTATTTATAATATTCGAAGGGATATTATTAATTGTAATTGGCTGGAATTGATCTCCAAACTGGAACTTCCAATTGGTTGTAGATGGAAGAGGTAGTTTTCTAATCACTTGGCCCTCTAAATTGCTGGGCATAGGTCTAGGAATATTAATAGAAGTCGGTCTTCGGGATTTTCCTCGTTTCTTTGCTAATGGCGCAGGTTTGTTGTCTATTTTTGGTTTTTTGCTGGATACCAATGGCCTGGAGCAACGCTTAAGAACTTTGGATGGGTCTTTGCCGACTTCTCCAAGGTCTTGATCATCCTCGTTTTGTTCCATAATATTTTCAGATTCAGAAATGTCCTTAATTGTGGGAACCGCATCACATGGGCCGATTTTGTGGAAGCTTTGGCCGGTCTGAAAATGTTTTGAACAAAGTACGAGTTTGCGTATTTGGTTGGGCGACATTTTAAGTAAATCTTCCCGGCCCAAGAATTGACACCAGCGCAAACATCGACCTATTTCGTATGCTGGGAACGGATGAAACTTGTAACGTTCAGTCTTGTTCCTCGGATCAGATCTTAACCGACCACAAGCTGCACAAGCCTGGCTTTCCAATACCTTAATAGGCAGCGGTTCCAGCTTTTTGCTTTTATCTGAAGGGCTGAAAAGTCTTGGTTCAGCCTGTGACTCGATAATACATGATTCTGTTTCATCCAATTGGTCTGGATCACGAATACTAGGAACTGCATTTTCCGTTAATCTTCCCTTAAATCCTGATACAAATTGGGAACCATCAAAATGCTTGGAACAGATATAGCAGAAAAGTATTTCCTTCCTTGTTAGCCTGTAATAAGAATCCACACCAACAAAGTCCAACCATTTAAGACAGCGGAATTCTTCTCCAGGAAAATGATGAAAGGTTGTTCCATCGTAATCCGCTGAAGGTGGATCTCTTCGTGCTCTTCCACAAAGAACACATGTTATATTGTACAAGCTTTGCTTAGGATCATAAACCGATGGAACTGCATTGGAATTTAAACGGTCCAAATATTCATTAAGAAAATCTTTGGGCTGAAAATGCTTCGAGCAGACCATACGCTGAAGAAGCTGCTTTTTTGTGAGTTTGTAGAGGTCCTCACGACCACAGAACTCTAACCAGCGACAGCAACGAGTTTCGTCATTCACTGGAAAGCCGAAAAACATGTACTCCTCCTCCCGATTATTAGGGTTCATGCGTGAACGGCCGCAGACGACGCAAGGATGTGGCATGATTGAGATATTGTAGCTCTCAAAAGCAAATCAATCTGGCTCGTAGTTCAAAATTCAAGTTATAAATCTGAAAAATCAAGCAGCTTTTGAATTATTCATTCTTGTAGTTTTAACTTGAAAATATGGTTTTTGGATCTTTTTTTTCATGTTGTCTTAGTGGAAAGAGTGGTCCACAAATATAAAGAAATTCTCACATCTTTTCTGTCCATAGTTTATAGTTAAGTCGCTGCTTTCAGAAACTAACCCTTTACAAATCTTTTCCTTCGTTTTAAATTAGAGTTGTCACAGATTAAAACAGATTAAATCTTTCCTTGTTAAAGTTTAAAATTGATATAATAGCCATCAAATATTTTCTCTTTATAACACAATCAAAACTGTTATTCTCACAGTTCACAATTTAAATTATAATTTCCAAAGATTTTCTTTTTGAACAAGTTCTTCCTCTTCACGATTCATGGTACAATTGATGCAGAAATTAACTCTGCATCTCGAGACAGAATTCTTAATCGGCTCTTCACAATATTCTTCTGTTACAACTGAAAATAATTCGAATTATATCGAAGATGTTTACAGTCAATAAATAAGAGAAAACAAAAACAACTTAAAGGCACTGGTTTGTGCTTTACATCTATGTTATACTTTAAAATTAATTATATATTACTTATTATTAATTAATTTATAATAATTCTTTGCTCTTGTTCGTTGGGCTCGAAAGAGGTTAGGTATAGAAAATTCAAAAAATTCAGTCAATAAAAGCGATAGCAACGAGATTGAGCTCAATTTAAAACTGATTGTATTACTTCTCTCACAGTTTCACGAAATTCGCAGTATTTCTTTCTATTTTGTTGCAGTTTCAAAGTTTGTTCTACCAAAAGAGAGTATACGTATGTACGACCATTTATAATCTTACCTTTTAATCAAATTGTTTTTTATGTAGCGAATAAAATTCCAGAGAGCACTTCAAAGTCTTTATTTCATTGAGATTTGGAAAATATCTATTATTGGAAAGATATTGTAAATTTATTTAAGGAGTTTCGTGCACTTGTTGCGCTTTCATACGATGATTTAAGGTTATGTTACCTACATGCATCTAGAATCAGCAAAGCACTGAATAAAAGCATAGCATACAGAGACTTAACCTACAAATATCAGATAGTTTGATAGCTGCCGACACTTGTTAATGCGTTAACAAGATAAAATAGTTCACTCTCTTATGAGAGTAAAAAATGTACGTATATATGCATATAAATAATAAAATTAATATTGTTGGTTGGGGGAATGAGTACACTAGTAACCAAAGTATTATTTGTAATAAAAAATTGCGACGTGGCAATGAAGCATCAATTAATTCATTACATTTTTCTTTAGTGCTATATATAGTCGTTGACTTTCTGGAGAAAAATATCATACATGAATCTCGCCATCCTTCTGACTCCGTTGCAGTTACAATTTTATAAGGATTGTAAACCATTTGTCCAAGGACCAAAGTTTGTTCAGCTTTATGCGAAGTGTATTTAAAGATCTAAGGTATTACAACAGGTAACACACATTTTAATACTAATACCTTATATGCAGTGGAGAAAGAGAGAGTTTGACAAATTATCCATTTATATTGACATATATAATCTCCAGACTATAGTTTTAGCAAAATGGAAAAATTGTATGTACATACGACTTGCAAGCTTATTGGTTTTTGTAAAATCTTCATTTTTTTTAAATATAGATTTAAGATAGTTTATGCGTAAATCAATTCTTCGATTCTTTGATTTTACAAGATTCCATTTAATTTCTTTTATTAATATTATTTTTTATTACCTAAAAGTCTGACAGATTATAGATTTAAAACGTCGAGGATTAAGTAAGCGAGACTTGTTGAAGAAAAAGATTGACAAAAGATGGCAGAAAGTACTAATAATCCCTATGACATCAATGGGCAACATTTCAATTCTGACATGTATTTTCAAAAGTTGTTAAAGGTAAGTTTACTTGAATAAGTTCTATAAACAAGCCCTTCATTCTTTATACATGTTTGAAGGAATATATCTTGTATTTTATATAATAAAGCAAGATGCTGTTTACACTTTTTTTCGATTATTTATCAGTGTTATTATATATAGGAGTGCACGCTAAAGCAAATTATGGATCGCGAAGCAGAAATAATAAAAAACACTCAAGCTTTACATTCCGACATGCAGACTTTGGTATACGAAAATTATAATAAGTTTATATCTGCTACCGATACTATACGCAAGGTAATCATCTTTTATGGTAAATCATCTTTTATGAAATTATTAGATTCATTTTTAATTTTCTAAATACATTTTAGATGAAGACAGATTTCAAGGAGATGGAGGATAGTATGGATCTTTTAGCCAAGAATATGGAAAGCATCACTTCTTTTTCGGAGCAGATCTCTTCAACTTTACACGGAACAAGACAGCAAATTGCTAAACTGTCCTCTGTACACACTCTGTTGAAAAAATTGCAGTTTCTTTTTAAACTGCCTGGCAATCTTAAGGACAAAATAAATGAAGAAAAATATGCAGAAGTACGTATACTTTTTTATATATGAATGTATAATATATATATGTGAATATATATATATATATAACATATAATAATAATATAACATTTCTTACGCTAATTTTTAGTTTTCAAATTATAAGCGATAAGCGATTACTTTTCAGGCAGTTCAAGATTACGTTCATGCACAAAGAGTTTTAAATCAATACAGTAACATGCCATCCTTCCAAGGCATCCAAAAAGATTGCGAGGACATTCTGGAAGAACTAAAATCTAAACTTAGATTACAATTTCATAAGAGAGACGTTTCCACTAAGGCTTTAGCCGAAAATATAGACCTTTTACTGCAGTTAAAAGAACCAGCTGATTCATTATGCATTGAATTCCTGATACATGCCGAAGGAAGATTAACAGAACAATTAGATATTTTGAAAGATATGTGCGAAAATGATATTATAGAGTTCGTAGACATGGCTTCTTCGGGATTTCTTAATAATTTATGCTTGATTGTAACTTCCTATAAGGATATATTCATAAATCGACCATTGGAAGACAACGATTTAGTTGATGACTTTGAAATAAGAGCTGTGGATCACTTGAATAAGTTTATTGTGAGCAATATGAAAAAATATTTTGATTTGATGGGCAAAAGAGTTGAGGATGTAGCTGATACAGCGATTTTAGTAAGAGCTCTTGACAAATTTCATCGTAAACTGCAAGAAATGAATATGTTGTCCAAGGAAACAGACTTTGCCAGGTAATGGGAAAAAAACATTAAATAAAGTATAAAAGTAATTTGGAATATAAAATCTATGTGTAAAGATAGAATGGCATAATTAATAAAACTAGTATATTATAAAAAATATATAATAAGTGGTAATCACGAATAAAAGACTAGTAAAGTAAATTAAGATAATTATTTTGCAGAATTGGAACTGATCTTGTTGTAAATGCTGGCCGAAAACAATGTCGCAACCATTTGCATAGTTTGAAACAACACTTGAGTGAGATTTTAGCGAAAGTAAGGCAGACTTTAGCTGCTAAAGTCCCACAAGATAGCGATGAGGGTTTAGCGGAACTTCAGGCTATGCTCATTATGCCCACTATAGAAAAAGTTAAAGGAGTCCTACAAGATTTATCGGTTTGTATCTCCAAACTCTTATTCGCGCGATTACTCTTTATTCAATTTTTTAGGTTTCTTATTTCCTTACCTTTCATTTCTCAAATGTGTAAATGTCAACGATGGAAATTTAAATTGGTTATAATTGTTCTAGGTATTTTTACAGCTAGATTTGCCAAATAGTATAAAAACACAATTTTTGCAAAGTTTCTGTGTGGATGAAGTGAGAGAAGGATTAGTAATCGGTTTTCTACATCATCTCACAGCTACAGTAGCTGGATTTTGCAATGGATCCGACGTGTCAAAATTTCCGCCTACTTTATTACTTCTGCTCAGTAAAATGTGCATCGAGTATAAGGAGAGCAACGTCCGTCATCTGGTATTTAAAGATAAAAAGATAAAAAAAAATGTTTTAATTATAATGCATCATAAAAGTGTTTTTATATGATAATGATATATTTTATTTGTACGCTTTGTAGCTCACGAAATTTGACGATCTTTTTAATATCGATCAATATGTGTCTTCGGAAAATATCATAACTCCCGAGTCAGAAATATGCGATCGTTTTCAAGAGGCTGCTCAGAATTTGTTGAATCATTATGTGCGAATTCAGGGATTAGCAGTATCACAAATGCTGAGGAAATCTGTAGAGACCAGAGATTGGTTGCACACAATTGAACCTAGAACCGTGAGAGCTGTTATGAAGAGGGTTGTTGAAGATGTAACTGCCATTGATGCGCAAGTTGCCGCTTTATATAACAACAATGATGGTCAGGTTGATAGAAGTAGCGATAGTAGTAGGAAGACTCATAGGTAAAAGATTTTCACTTGAATAATTTTTCTTATTTAACATATCTAATTTTCATGTAAAGTTATTTGACAAATGTTGATATAAAATATAATAATACAAATCTTTAGAGATTCTCTAAATATGTACAATATGTAATTTTTCATTCATATTCTGAAATTTATTATTTGATCGTTAAATGCTGGCTTTGAAGTATATAATCGAAATTTATTCTAGTGTTAGCATATCTAGGCAACACTATAGATCAAATTGGTCATCCTACACACCTAGCCATATCGATTCCTCTCTAGTGACGAATATTCACAAACTATTTTCCGAACGAATCGAAATATTCTCATCTGTGCAATTCAACAAGGCATCTATTCTAACAGGAATTATCAAAATAAGCTTAAAGGTGATATTAATAATAAGATACTACTTTAATAATATAATAATAATAAAATAATACTTTATTTAATGTAATATAATTTAATGTTATTTTATTCAATTTTTACTTATTATTTATTTTTATTCATTATTTTGTTATTAATTAGATCAATATTAGCTTGATGTATTCGTTTTTTATTTATATAATATGATTATGTTTTTATATTGTTTTCTAATGTATAAAGCGGTAAAAATTCGTGCAGAATAAAATTTTTAGCAGGCAATGTACTGGCGTAATGATCGCTCAGGTGCAGAGTAGTCGCAATGACAAAATAGCACAGTCATTATTCACTTTATGAAGTTGATTCATCCTTCCAACTCTGTCATCGTTCACTACGCAATATGTTTCATGCTTTTGCCATGCTTACATCTAGTTGAATAAAAATGTAAATCAATATCTTTTTATATAACAGTAAATTTTTATAAGATAATAAGATATTATATAAAGGAATTATTGTTATATAAAAAGTTGTTATATTAAATAATAAAATCATATAATTATTAATTTTCTTTAATATTTTCTGGTAATTTGTACACAGACTTTCCTCGAGGGTGTAAGATTACGAACATTCAGCAAGTACGGTTTACAACAAATCCAAGTAGACACTCATTATTTGCAAACTTATTTGTGGCCATTTGTGTCAGATGAAAAGTAAGATTTCGATTTAACTTTGTAAATTAAAATAAATAATTTAGTTATATTTATGCTAATGTTATTGTTTGTAGTGTGGTTCACTTTTTGCTGGACGAGATTTTAGGTAGCGCAGTACATAGATGTTTGGACCCTGTTTTGATGGAGCCCAGCGTGGTGGACATTATTTGCGAAAGAGGTTAAATTATGAGCAATTACAAATTATCTTGTACAATTGCATATAGAAGTATGTCATAGATGGTAAAATACGTGTAATATAATTTATAAAATATCATGAAATAATAATTATAGTAATTACGATATTTAAATAAATATCATGTAATATATATGTATAGAAATATGTTAAAAAAGTTAGAATTAAGTTTATGCACAATAAGCACACAGTTGCATTTATTATAATAAATAATCTCTTATAAAAAAATCTCTATATTCTTTTCATCTTTTTCTACTATTTTATGAAACTAGTTTGCTATTCCTTTTTCTTCTTTAATCGTTCCCACCTCTCTCAAAATATGAAACTATTAGAAATAGTATACGATGTAAGAAGCAGCTCAGGGTCACACAATTTTAATAAGTCTTGATTCTTCTATTATCACATTCTGTACTTTCAAATTTTTCGGCCGAGTTCGCTTTTTTTAAGTTCTTATAAAAAAAATTATATATTATGTTACCTTGTTATTAAAAATTATTACAATACATTTTATAACTTTTATTTTGCTTTGTTTTTGCTTTTTCTTATTTTGTCTACATTGGGTGCTTTCCATTTAATGACACAAGTCGACGCACAAAACGACGTTCTATATATCTTTCTTGGCATTCAATGCGTAACAAAGACAGAACGACACTTGTGGTGACTTGTGTGTCAGTAAATGGAAAGCCATAATCACTTTTATCATTTTACGTATTGTTGGTTTGAATTTTCTATTTTTATCATCTGTTATTTCACAGCACAATTCGACACAATAATATGCAATATCTTCACAGTACCATAATTCATTAGAATATTATCGATCAATCAAGAGACGAATGGGGTCGCGACAAGTTTATAGTTTATATGGGATACCAGAGAGAACTTGGTTGTAACCCCTTGACAGTAGCTACTCTCGACTTAATTCGGACTTCCTCTCTCTTGGGATGAGATTCATTCGGCGAGTATCCGGCCTGGGCCCACGCACCGCATTCTATCCAATTTAATAACACTCGCTCCCCTGAATTGCTTTCGACAAACCGTAGCTCCGTAAAACTTTGATTCTAAGTTTTTTTTTACAAAGAACCGAATATTTACGTTTAATATTTTTCTAATCTTAAAGAAAAGGACAGCTTAACGCTCAATAAACAATACATATACACGTATTATCTAAAGCTATTTTTTTACTTTTAACTATATTCACGTTTAAATTTCTCAAAGTTAAAATAACTTAAATCAAAGTGAGATTAAGAACAACATATCCCTTCGTTCTGAGAAACGTAAAAAATGTTATTAACTTTTTTTATTATATACATTTTATTATCTCGAATATTTTCCAAAAATTGGTGAGCTGACATTTTATTTATTACGATAATAAATAGGAAAATAATATAAAGCAAAAAAAGATCGCTCTGCGATAGCAAGAGGATGAAATTAAATTTACTTGAAAAGCGTTGCGGAGAGATCTCGAATGTAAAATGATATCAAAGATAGAGGGACGGACAAACGGACATATGGCAGCAGACACACGTGATATCTTAAGAAACACCTGTGCATGTGTAACTTGTTGGCAATTTCTCGTGGCATTCCATCTGAGGCTGCTGCTACATATAGATACCAATCATACTCCTACGACGTGTCAAAGTGAATTGATAGTTGTGTGAAGCACTGGTATCAAAGACTGGAATAAGCTTGCAATTCGCAAATCATCCGCGTAAAGTATCCAACACAATATATATATATATATATTTAAAACACAATTCTCTGTTGAGAGTAGGTTTTGTTGAAAACGTACTTTTTTTTAAGATATACGCGGTTTTATATTGTGAGAACAGTCGATATTTTGACTTTCAGCTTTCGCACTGGCTTTGACGATTCCTCGAAAATTGGTTCCTTTATAAGCGATTAACTCGTTCATATATGTACGTCCGATCGAAAGATGACAAATGAAAAGAGAAAAGAGCAAGTAATCGGCATTGTGTAGCAATATCGCTTCACTTTGGTAAAATAGACCCGCATGGGAAAGTCGCGGTCGTCATAAAATCGCTATAGGGTTTCGAGAGCGTAAGTGGCATAATGTATATTAAAGTTTCGTTACATGATTTTTTTATGGATAAAATTTGGATATATTTACCTGTCAATTCTTAGATTTAGTAATGTATATAAAATTTTACTTTTAAATATATTTTTCTACCATGCACATGTATTTTATGTCACAATTGTGTGTGTGTGTGTGTGTGTGTGTGTGTGTGAGCATTGAAATATATAGTTATACAATATATACACGTATATATAAGTTTATATTTATATGTATATGTATATATATTTTTCTTGGATATATACTAATTGATATATATATATATATATATATATATATATATACTAATTGATATGTACTAATCTTACGCTAATTTTGTTTCAGATTCTTAAAAAACAATATGAATTTTACGGAAATAGCGATAATAAGGACATTTCGATTTGTGACCGTAACAATGGGCAAAGCACCATTAGATCGCTCGTTGGTGCGTTCACAAATCTAACTATCCTTTTCACGTCTGTCAATTGCATTCATTAATATACCTTTTTGAAAATTGTAAATAGTACATACTCTAACGAAAAAAAAAAACTTGAAAGACATCAATTTGACTTTCGATACTCTCTGCAACGTACACATCTATTAACGCATAATTTATGTATCTAATATAGATAATTAATATCAATAGTAACATGGATTTTATATGATAGAATATCGGTGATCAAATCGATGATGTTTAAGAAGAATAATTAAGAGAAAATAAAATTTTTAATTCGGTAGTTTATTTGTATGCTAAGTAGTAGTGCCGTAGGTGATGATTTGAAAAATTCACTTCGGCACGATTACTTTACATGCTAGTAGGCGCAATCGACGTGAAGCTGGTATGAAAATAAAGTTTATAAAATACTGAAATTTTATAGATGTTTTATAGAATACTGAAATTGTGTGCTTATTCTCGGCACGAGTATAAAAATAAAAACTAAACATTTCGTAAATTAAAAATTCTCTTAATTTTTAATTTATTTCTTTTCCTTCAATTCCCGAGTTAATTAACTTCTAAAATTTTTCATGCTTTCTTATATTTCAGTTTTGACAATCAATTGGATTATGGGATATAATCTACGACGAGAACGCGTAATCTCGTCGCGGAATTTGAATGAGGGCCTTACTGGACCGGTGAATAGTTTGATAACAGCTCCCATCTAGATAGATAAAGGGGAAAGGAGAGACAAGATCATTCGCCGTCGGTTGGCGGACTATTCAGTGCCGCGACCGACACTGATTTCAATTGGTAAATTGACTCAGAACGAGTGGGAGAGAAAAAAATGGCGGCACGGAGTAACCGACGATGAAGCCACGGAAGTAGGGGAAAAAACAGTGGCGTAACTAACATTAAAAAGAACGTTTAACCCTAGCTAGCCATACTTATTTTCGAGTCCTTAATTCGCCACACTCCGGTCCGTGAGACCGCTCGACTTTGTCGCATCGTCATTTTCATTCTAAGTAATTAATATCTTTAAGCTTGTACTGTAGAAATTGGAAATACAGACTCTAAATAAAATGTTTATGATAATATCAAGTCAAGAAAATGATTTGATTTTGAACTGAACTTATTATAAGGAAACTAGAAAATTATGTTATTTTGTGAAAACTAGAAAATCGAAAAACGTTCAGCGGTCCACTGGACCGGAGTGTGGCGAGTTAGGATCGTTAGGATTAAGAATCTAAAGAGAAATTAAAATACATCAAATTTTAACATGATTTTTTTCACAAAGATAAATTAAAGTACAAAAAAAAATAAACAATATTTTATATAAATTTAAGATATAACATTGTGAATCAAATTAACGTTTATGAAAATTAAAATAACTTTATTCTTTTATATTATTCCTTTTTTTGGACCATTCTTTCCCATTATTTTTATCTCATTCCTTGTTTGCTTCTGCTCAATTGCACATTAGTATTTTATCTTAACTTTGTATAAAAATGTATGAGAAACAAGAGGAGGGAAAGAAAGACGTAGATAAGAAATAGAGAAAGAAAAAGAGATATATGTTTCTTACTATTTTACTTAAGGACTGAAAATGTATAATTTTCGCTGTCAGAAGAGAATGGTTCTGAGGATTAAATTAGTAGAAAAAGTAACGAAAAAAAAAAGAAAGAAGAAAACGCTGCCAGAAAACAACGGTAGATGTGGATATCTCCTTTCTCGTCACCGAGCAGTTGGTTAATAGGCACTGAACGCCGTTTGAATGCTTAATGCGGCGCGCATTCTAGGATTAAATTGACCAATCATTTCCCGCGCGCACAGCGGAGCCAATTGCGCCGCGCGCTCGCGCGCCCTACTATATCAAGCCAATCAACGGCACTTAGCGCTCAGTCGTCGTCGCGTCGTCGCGCGGTGCGTGTTGCGGCGAATTGTGCTGTGTGCGTGCACCACTATATCAAGCTAATCAAGCGTGCACGGCGCTCAGTCACTGCGTGCTTCGTCAGTGAAGTTTCTTTCTTTTTTTATTCCGTTCGCGTATAGAATCGTAAAACACGCGCGAGAATAAAGCTGCGATTCAGCACATTTAGTGAACGAACGGAGTGAAGAATGCACGTGAAGAAGTTAGAAGTTGGCTACGTTAGTTTATATTAATAAAAGAGTTTCTCGTTGGTTTTTTTGCAAAAAAAAAAAGAGTTGGTATATTTGTACAAAATTTAATTATTCGCTCGTACGCGATTATTAAGTCCTCTACATCTGTTCGTAATTTCTTGATTAAATTTTTAAAGTTTTACTCGTATTCTATTCAAATATCTTTGTACTCTGTATCATCGAGATTAATCTTCGGAAAGTGATAATTAATTGCGCTATGTACATCAATATATTTGTTAAAATTTTGTTTGCTTGTATTAAGCATATATATATATATATATATATATATATATATATATATATATATATTGTATATGTATATATATATCACGCTATATTATAATATATATATATTTACTAAAATTTTTATCCACGTTTTTGTAACTATCGCTATTACTATCACAATTAATTCATATGAGAAGAAATTTAATTTTATCTGTATATCTATAAGATAAAAATATCATGGAAAAATTAGAATATCTATATATAATGTCCATGTCCATATAAATAATATAGAAATAATGGAAAGATCTATAAAAATTTTATTAATTAGAGATTATTAAACATGATAAATAAATGATATAATAGATATAATAAAGAAAAATGTGCACATTGTCTCTGAACTATTAAAACAATTCTGAGTACAACACAAAATTAATTGCATACGCGCACGATGCGGTAAAGGGTTAAAGGTTACTTTTGATTTCCTGCGATTGTTCCGGCAAGGAAGCGAGAATTCTCAAAATATATGGAAAGCAATTGTTAATTGACTGTAAGACGCTAATTTTTTCTAGGAGACTTCAGATTAATGTCCTTCAAAATTGATGAGATTTCTCCTTCTTATTTATTATTACCTAGATACATTCTTTTATAGTTATTATTTATTATTACTGCTCTTTTTATTTCATTTAAGTATTTTGAACAAATTTCAAGCTACAATCTTTTTTTAACTCTTAATTAATTTTTTTATCGCTTTTTATTCTTAATCAATCTTTTATTATTTCTTAATTAATTTGTCATTGTCGAATCAAATTGCTAAATAATTAATAATTATTTGAAAACATTTCAGAATGTTATATTTCTTTTCTCCTTGTTAATCTTCAATTTTAAATAAAGCGCATTGATATTAGAAGATATACAATATAAGTATATATTTTGTTATTCTGAAAATGCGCTTTGCTCTCTTCATGGGCCTCCGCTCATTATCGCGATGACTTCTTCACCTCGCACACATGATAGTATAGTGTATAGGACATAAGAGAGGAAAGATACGACTAGGGTTAAAATACCAATAATATATTCTGTGAGAAAGCAACTTGAGAAGAAGCTGTTAATAAACAAAACAAAACTCTTTTTAACGGCTACTGAAATTGAATCAATGAAATCAGTTGCGTGACATTTATTGTTAGTAATTTCTTTCTAATTTCTTTCTAATTATTAACGTTGAGTTAAAAAAGAGTGAGTTGTCTAATAAAAAATTAAACTGTTATGTAAATAATTAATCAACTTGTTAATTAGAAAACGCTGAAATTGTCATTTTCTTCTTTTTTAGCATTATTATTATTACCATTATTATTGTATTCTATATAATAATTTTTTTATTTTTTAAATGTTTCTCTTATTTCTCCCAAATGTATCTAAACATCAGTATGTTATCGTAGAAACGATGAGTTATTTCCAAATTAAGAGAAGGGAGGGAAAGTGCAGCGCGCTTGACGAACATTGAGAGGAGCCATCGACATTAGCAGAAATTAACGTTAATTGACAACTCCCACCCTTTTTCTCATTCTTGTTTTATCCCACGGCGAATCTGTTCTTTTTTTCTCTTGTTTTTTTCGTATCTTTACAACTCTGCCAACATAAAAAAGTCAGCTGTTCTGCTACAGGGTGTATCATTATTATATTGAATAAATTTGAGTAAGTTTGAACACCTTTATCGAATATAAAGATTAAACAAGAAACAAAAACAATATTATATAATTTTGCTTATATAATTTTTCATTAAAATTAAATTAAATGACATTCAATGAGATAAGATAAAATAAAAAATTTCAATATTAATATAAAGATTTTAATCTTGTTTGATGTTTTTTAAATATTTTTTGCTTAATGTTTTCAATTTTTTTTTCAAAGATGATAATTATTATACCAGCCTGTATATGCATTGGTATGTAGATATTGCAGCTGAATCTCTAATCCTCTTTGACGAACGATTAAAATTTAATCCGAGCGATGTTAAAAAGTAATAAGCAACACAACATGCATTGCTTTATTAACGTTTTCATTATCTTCACTTATACATATATTTCAAAAGAATAAATAATTTAATTTTAAATATACTTGTGTATTGCATATATAAATATAAAAAATATATATTCTATTATATGTATATAATATTATTTGAAAAATTTTATTATAAAATGTTCACATCGCGCGCACAAGCAAAAGTTACGTATTATTATTATAAACATAATATTAATTTATATACTATATCAGATTTTTTCATGTTCAATTATACATATTATTTACATAACATTTTGTTTATTTGTTTATTTTTTATCACTTATTTTTCACTTTATTATATTAAGCTCGACCATTTCTTAATTTATATATTTTACATTTTCACATTGCATCTTATGCAATCTTGATACCAGAACGATTTCTAGCTAGGCTATGAATGATGAATAGAACGTTTGATAAAAAGAGAAACCCGCTTGCCAAACACGGAACGCAGCGAAATCAAAGATTCAATTGTACCCTCACTTCTTTGCTCTCTCATCTTTGTAATAATATGATCTTCGACTTCACTTTAAACTAATTTTATTTTTCTACATTGTAAGAAAATATCCAAATGTTTAGAAAACAGTTAAAAAATGTTTTTTAATATTTTCAGAAACACACGCGCGCGCGCGCGCGCATGGGCGCCTAAACAACAAAATAAATATGTAAGATATATATTTATTATAAAATTAATATATATAAAGGGGTAAAAGCTATAGTGGTGTAAGTCAAATTTTTAAAAGTATTGAATTGTGTGCATAGATGCAATTTATATATTGTATAGATTGTATCTATGCACACGAATCAATATTTTAAAAAATTTGACTTACACCACTATGGCTTTTATCGCTCCATATATGAATTTACGAAATATTATAGTTATTTTATGTAATTTTATGTTATAACATATTTACATATTATTTATATTATATATTATTTGATATGTTACTATAAAAAATGATTATTATATTATGTTTTTTATATTATTTTTAATAATATGAAGATGCATACTATAAAAGAATTAAACATGAAAATCGAAATATATTCCAGTAATCCTGATGAGAGAATGAGGGTGAAAAGAAAGAAGGAATACTATTGAGAGGGAAAGGAGAATACAGTGGACGACTTTAATGATTTCTCGAGGTTGTTTTAATAGAGTACGTCTGCCATTGCATCATCACCGTATACTGGGTGTCCAGCTGCTAAGTTTTTAAATAATTTCACAGACTTTCCTTCACAGAAGATTTGGTAAGAGACCAAATTTTCAATTTAATTTTAAGTATTTTATAGCTATTTATAAAATTCTTCTTTGAAAAATATTACTTATTACTATATTATTACAACGTTTATGTACATAGATATTATAATTTTCTATATTTAATTTTTTATATTCCTTAATTTATGTATAAGAAAAAGCAATAATCTTTCCTTCATTCTTTCCTTCTTCCTCTTTCTCTCGTTTTCTTCCTTTTAGAGATATGTGCGCATATACACGAATGATAAAAGAAAGGGAAAAAGGAGAAAAAAAAACAAAAAAAAAGAAGGACCAGAGAAGCAAAGGGAGAGTGAGAAAGAGAGAGAATCTTAATTAATCCTAATAAGTCCATATTGCCAGTAATACTCAGTGAGATTAGATAATTGGCGGAGGAACTCAGTAATTCACGAACATTGCATGTGTGACACACGTTCTTTTTTTTATTTCACACAAAATAAGCCTATAATGATTTCCTCCGTCATTATCGTATGAACAGTTAATGATAAATGCACCAAATATTTCATATATAGCAATGTGTGTTGCAGAAACGTTGAAGGATCTTATTAACAAATTTAGAAAAGGTAACTCGAGATTTGTCGTGTATTCTTCATTCATAGTTCTACAGATCACTAAAATTTATTGTTTATTCTTTTCCACAGTTTTTATGATGCGTGCGTATATTTTGTTTACAGAAATTTATGAAACAATTTTTAAGGATTACTTGATAAGAAAAAATAAAGTTAAATCTTTTTAAAATTAGTTATAGCTAAAAATAATAGTAATAAATCTTTAATTTTAATTAATTTTTCTTGTTTTATCTTTTATGTTATGCTATGTATTTTGTTTGCAGAATATGTGATCTCTGAAGCTTCAATGGGAAAGGAAAAATTAAGTCCTGTCCTGTTCCTAAGTACTAGTGCCGCAGGAGTGATTAGGCTATACGAGACATTACCGTATCTCCTGCTGCTCAAGTGCTTATCAACGGGTCGGGACGCATGTCAACTTTTATTCGTGATCTAACAATAAGAAGCAACAGAAGAACTCCGGATATTTTCGTTGCGTTTTTTCACATTATTATTTCCAAAATGTTTTAGAGACATTTTTAATAAAAATGGACTTATTTCTTTTTCTTTTTAACATCTTTTCTAATATTATATAATAACGATAATATTTATAGTATCTAATGATAAAAGTCATAAAGTATAATCCAGTGATTATTTAACATAACATGATTTTTTAAAGTTAGATTTATACATACATGCGTAATGTATAAATATTAAATTATTATATTATATAAGATTGAGTGTATAATAAATAATAATTTATAACTTATATATATATATATATATTTCTATATGTATATACATACGTTTGCATTTTTACTTTACTTTATACCAATAAAGATGAGAAATGTTTAATGTAAAAATTAATTTTATGCGACATATAAACTATGAGAAACACATATATATTAGATACATAATTTAGTTTTATTTTATCGTAAAACTTTAATTTATATTCAGTTTGGATTTATCAATAAAAAAAGGATTATATTGCTATATTTGTGTAATAAAAACATACATTTAGATTTGTTTCATTGATATTCTTTACCTACTGCATAAACTTTTTCTCCCATTTTTTCCAAAATTTGAAGATGTTTTAATACATATATTTATTTCAAGAAATGATAATGTGTGTTTAGGCTATTATAGAATAGTGGCAATACTTTTTTCACCATTTAGCCTTTTTATACATATAACGTATATGGGATATCAATTGGTTTGCATATTATACGCGTAATCATGAATCGCGTAAATTAAGTCTACATTTATATCAATAATTAACTTACATTTGCGTAACGTTTTCTTGCATGAAGAACTCGGACCACTGCTCCAGACTGGATTCATCGTGGACATAACTGATATTATCGCGTGCCGTGGGTGGGCGCCAAAAAGATCCAAACTTTCTATCGTTTTTACTTGCATCTTTGCATCCCTATAACAGTGTAATTTATGTATGTATGTAGTACATTGAAATAATTGAAACGAGATGACGAGATCAGCGAGATCGACATATACCTTAGCGACATATGTCGTGTAAGCTTACACTATTTAGAGAATGCTACTTTGCAGAAACAACAGGACACAGCGAGTGCTCGCTGCAAAAATCCTTAGAAAAAAAAAAAAAAATTACTGGCGGAAAATGAATCTCTGAAGTCATATTAAGCCCATTCTACAATAGCCGTAAAGTATGCATTAAGATGTAAGCTGTAAGCTATATTAACTATTGACTAATGGGATTTTTACAATCCAAGAATGATCGACTGTAGTTGGTCAATTTTTACTGCCTACGTCTTAAAACATACTTTTACGGCTATTGTAAAATGGGCTTTAGACAAAACTTCTAATTTCCGACTCAGGACTCTTTCTCCGCCCGCAAATTTTCTAAGGATTTTTGCAGCGAGCAAAGTGATATGAATGAAATTCAGAACATTGGCTGATCGCACAAAAAAGCGATCGACTATAATATTAGTATAGATGTAGTACATTGAAATAATTGAAACGAGATGACGAGATCAGCGAGATCAAGATATATTTACCTTAGCGACATATATCTTGAAAAGAGAAAAACAGAAAGAGCGAAGAATTTGCGCGCAAGCTGCAAACCGCGCAAATAGCGTAAGTAAAACTAATAGGGCAGATGCACGACAGATGGGGCTACACGTGGCTGCAAAGCTGCAATCCGTAGTTTAGGGAAAGGATATAAATCCTAGGGGAGGACCTAGGAAGTTTCACGTTTCACTTGACGTGGCGGCCTGGTCAATGGCCGCGTTCAGCAGAACAAACCGTTCAGTAGCAATCGAACGTGCGTGGCTCTTTTACTTTTAGAACCAACCAATCAACGCGGAGTGTTAAATAAGACGAACTCAACGGTTGTTGTCTGCTGAACGCGCCCAATGGTGACTGCCGACAGTGCCGAGTGCCGACACTGCCGACTGGTGAGAGTGGTGAGTGGTGTGGCCGGTGGCCGGTGTGGCGCGGGCAGCGGCCGCGCGTGCGACGTGCGACGGACTTGCGCGTTGCGCGTAGTTGCGCGCGCATATCCTCCGTTCTCCGTGATCCTAGTACGCTAGTCGCGTCGCGTACTCTTCCGTTCGCGCTGGTGATTCCGTTCGCTTACCTGTGTATGTGACATTTTTTTTCCACGGACCGTTCGCGCTGCTGCAACATGTTTACCTGGTTGTGCCGCCCTCGTCACGATAACCAGCGATCCGTCGTCTATTCCATCATGAGACTCACGTTGCCTTGTCGGCAGCATTAAATTCTCAGGTACGTGGACCGCTCTCAGCGCCGAGTTCCGCGGCACCCCGCCAACGCGAACGGTAAACGGCGGCGCGCCCTGACGAGAATCTGTTTACGTAGTAATGGCGATTGGCGAACGTGCTCCTCGTCGCCGACACCGTCGCCGTCGCTGTCGCCGTCGCCGTCGCGACGCCTGGAAAGCCCTTCGCCTCCTGTGCTTTCTTCCTCAGCCGGAGGAGAACGACGAGTATCGCTTTATTGGATAAGGCGCGAGGGGGAGGGAGGTGGGGAGCGGGGGAATTACTCTAGAACAAATTTTATTCCTTTTCATTATCGCGTACTGAATATATAATTGTTAAATAACTGTGCTTACTTTTACCTTAATTTCGACGTTTAAACGGAAAAAGTTCAGACTTTGGTTAGTAGAGTTTATTTAACTTTATTATCAATATTTGGACAAGTACCTATTTTATGCTGGCTAATGCAGTCTCGAGGTGAAGAGTATAGAGTACCTTGTTATCGAAATATTGCCAAGTTCTTTTACTTTTGTTTTATATATCGTGCTTTTGATTCAATACAAATTAGACTTCTAATTTATACAAAAATCGAAGCTTACTCGTACGAGTAAGCACTTTAATTAGCTCAATATTTTTGTTTTGTTTAGATTTATAGAGACAAGATTTTTATGTAACATTATGTAATTTTTAGCTTTGTAAATCAAAAACTTGGAGAGGAAGTGTCATGGATGATGAAGTGCGTCTCGAAGGTGAAGAGGAGATGGAGTTGGACGAGGGTTCCGATGGCGAAGACGAAGATGAAGAGTCAACAGGAATCCCAATATCTCCAGCTAACTCAGATCAATTACTTGGACAGACAACTCCAACGACTCCTGGTAATGGTAACTACATTTTAAACATTTAAAAAAAATTTTTTTTTTCATTTATTTTGGAAAAGTGATAAGTACGCTACAATTATTATTTATGATATTTATGAAAATATAATCATTTAAGTTGTCAAAATATTAAAAAGTATTAAAAATTATATAAGTAAGGAAACTAGAATAAAATAACACAAAATTTACATAGAAAATTTTAGTATTTTACAAAGGAATACATATGTATGAAATATTTAATATTAAATATGTCTTTAAAGCCCCTAGCACAATGCTAGGCAACAGGCAATAGGAACAGGGAATAGAAATCAGAAATCGTGTATAAATGCAGAATAAACAGTGACACAGGCAATAGACACAGAGTTTCCGTCACGTTGGAAATTCTGTGCCTATTGCCTGTTGCCAACCAATCATAGCATTCAAATTTTTTAGATTGTAATTAACGATTTTTTGGTTATTTCCTGTTACTATTGCCTGTTGCCTGGCATTGTGCAAGGGGCTTAATTAATTCAATATTATGCACATTTATTCATTTTTCTAAATTTATTTTTTCATATTTACTTATTTTTTTCTTTTTCCAGTTACACCAGATGAGGCTTTTCATGATCCGTTGCGATACTCAAAATTTCCATTACCTGGCGGTAAACCTTTGAATATTCGTCGTGGACCTGGCAGGCCCCGGAAAGAACGACCTTTTGGTATAACTCGTGGAGGAGGTACTAGAAGATCCTTTGGAAGGGGCAGTGCCAGAGTCAAAGGGTCTGTTTAATCATTATAATCGTTATCTGAACAAATACAAATACGCGCGCGCGTGTGTGTGTGTGTGTGTGGGGGGGGGGGGGTGAGACTGATTATATTTTATACATAAATCATTTGTGATGTCATTTCTTTATATTTTATTATTTACTTGTATAGATTTGGATATACAAGGGGTATACCGCGTCGTACTAAAAGTAAAGATGATGATACACACTCGGAATCTCCAAGTCCTTTGCGTACAACTGGGATGGATGATATTGCTCCTGACGGTGAATTGATGGGAAACTCGGTTGATAGGTCAATGCCAGCGCCGGAGGAACCCCCTTATTTTCCTGAACAATGGTAAAATATCCTCTATAATTTTCAATTATTCTGGACGCAAAATGAGTTTAAGCAATTGTACTTAAAAACGTTATGAAATAATTATATGTGATTGAATTTCTATAAAAAAAATATTTTCTTTATTTTTCATGAAATATAATTATTTTGATAAATTAAGTATAAAAAAATTAAATATTAAAAAGAAAGGCAAATTTAAATATTTTGAACGATATTAAAAATTACAATTATAAACCTCTAGGCCGGGCAAAGTATGCGCGTTATGCAATTTAGGCGAGAGGAGTCAGTTGGGACAAGGTGAACTCTTGCGCCTGACATGTCCACCGGGTTTCACTCCCGAGAAGCCGACAAACCGTGATGAAACAGCTACTGATCATCTCGTCAACGTCGTCGTCGCAGGAGATAAAAGTCCGCGTGCTACTGGACCTGGGATTGCCGTTACCTGTCGTAGGCAAAAAAGTCTAGCCAAATGCAGGTAAAAATAATTGATGTATTGTATGGAAATAATACAACTAAACAATTAAAATACATACATATTTATGTCTATTATATTGCAATTATCTTTTACAGGAATACTAGTCTAACTAATTTCACAGAACCGGTGGAAGAGTTGACAATCGTAGGTTATTTGGAAGAACCGGATGTCGGGGTTTTGTTTGATTCCTTGGCCAACCATTATTATGTTCATCAATCATGTATCATCTGGTCTAGCAACAGTCAAGATTTACTACCAGAATTGACATGTCGTGCTGTTCTACAAGCTTCTTCCAGACGTTGCGCTTATTGTTCGCATTATGGTGCTGGAATTCCCTGCAAAGTAAGCTATGGTTCAGCCATTATAATAAGTCAGCGATATAAAAGATAGGATTTATAATAGAAGTACACAAAATACGCACAGTTATTATTTATAAGATTATATATTTAAAAATAAATAATTAGAAAGATAAAAACTAGAAATTGAAAAAATTTTTCCTTTGTATTTGTGCAGTTGTTATAATTGCTCAATTATAATCGATATTCAACAGGTGGCATCGTGCAATCGTTATTTTCATTTTCCGTGTGCCGCGGCCAGCAGTTGCTTTCAAGACACTAAGAATTTGGCCCTTTTCTGCAGTCAGCATCTCGGCCAAGTTCCGCTTTCATGTAAGTTTCTCATTTTTAAACTTTCTATTTTATTTAAAATTTTTTACTATCTAATCTTTATTTAATGTCTAAGAATAAAATAAGAGAAAGAAAGAATTAAAAACATAATAGAGAATCCAAATTCTATACATTTTTTACACATAAATATAAAAAAATTATTTTATCAATATTGTGAACTAAGTTTGTGGGTTCAAAGCGCTGTTATTACTACAGACGAAATCACTCAGTGATAAATGTGGAACTATACAATATCAAATAAATATTGTAACAACAAGCATGTTTTTGAACGTATTTTTTATTATGCGATTTATTTTTCGCCTACTTTAGAAATGGGATCGCCTAAGTTTTATTTAAATGCATTTTATGCATACCAAGTTAATGTATTGTATATTCTTTGATAGCGCACATATATATATATATATGCATACATACATACATATGTATATATGTATGTATTTGTTACCCCTGATATTCTTCACAAAACTAAATTTTAGTCTAAAAAGCAATTTTTCCCTTATTTACTTTAAGACATAAAATTTTGCAAAAAATGCACAAAAATCTTACACTTACAGTGTGTGGGGAGGTAACTTGCGTTCAATGTTATGGAATGGGCGACGTTTCGAATTTAGTAATGTGCTCTGTGTGCGGCCAACACTATCACGGAAGTTGCGTGGGTTTGGCGTTACTACCTGGAGTGCGTGCTGGATGGCAGTGCGTGTCTTGCCGCGTATGTCAAGTCTGTCGGCAACCCGAGGATGTTTCAAAGGTTACAGAAATTTTAAAGACAGAATTTTACGAAGAACTTTAGTTCTAATTTAAAATTCTAATTTCTGATATGTCAAGTAATTATCATCACTAGGAAATATTAGAATGTATTTTCTGAAAAATTTAGAAATTACATTCCAATAATATATATACATAATATCCGATAATACATATATACATATATATATATGTTCTTTTTAATGGCTTTTGTAAAACAAGATTTTTGTTACAGGTGATGCTATGTGAACGATGCGACAAGGCTTATCATCCTGGCTGTTTGCGACCGATTGTCACTTCTATTCCAAAATACGGCTGGAAGTGCAAGTGTTGTCGCGTGTGTACCGATTGTGGTTCACGTACTCCAGGAGCTGGGCTGTCTTCTAGGTGGCATTCTCATTATACCGTCTGTGATTCGTGCTATCAGCAGCGCAACAAGGGTTTCTCTTGTCCGCTCTGCAGGAAAGCATATAGGTAACTGAAATATCTCGAGCATTTGTACAAATGTTTAGATGATCTGAATAATAATAATATTTTATTGGAATTACTAATAAAATTATTAAATATAATTAAATTCTGAAATTTTTGTAGAATTTTTACTATAATAATTTGTTTATATATTATGTATTATTTCATTGCTATGCTGTCTTTGATATTATTGCTTCCAATATTTTGATTCAAGTACATAAGGATTCATAATTTTTAGACATAAAAAATATCTATAATTTTTTTATATTTTTTTTAAATTAATAAAAATGTAATCATTATATTGTTTATATTCTAATATATTCTATTATATATCCTTTATATGTTTTATTATACTACATTTTATTATTACATTATTTTGCTCTTATTATATTTCTTTGTTTATTATATTTATTTATTTTTTTCTTGCAGAGCTGCTGCATATCGCGAAATGGTCCAATGTCATGCCTGCAAGAAGTTCGTGCACGGTACATGCGATCCCGAAGCTGACCCGCTTACTTATCAGCAGCGCAAGGAGACGAAACCGGATTACGAATACGTCTGCCTGCATTGCAAGAGCATTGCCATGGTGGCCAGACGGAAGGATAGTATCGATGAAGGCGATTTAAGTCTGAGTGCTTCTCAAGAGAGCCTTGATGGCGAGTCCTCTGAGTTAGATTATCCAAGTGGTTGTTCCGAAGAAGCGCTTTATTCTGTTGGATTAGGGAAAGGAAAACCGTTTTGTGTCACCAAGATTGCGAAGAAAAGATTTGGAATTAGTAGCGGGGTTATTGGTAGGCCCAAAGGTATTGGGAAACTGGGTTATCAGAAGAGGCAGAAGATGACAGAGTTTGGAAGAAAGAGAGGGCCCAAGGGAAAGATGAGAGGGTTCTATGGAGTGCCTGAAGTAGGCTTGCAGGTATGTGATATAAAAAGTTTTGTAATAGATATATGTTTATATTTATATAGACCTCTATATTAATGTTACATTTGGTTTTTTTTTGTTTTAGTATTAGTAAATTAATAAATTTTTAATTAATAAAATTATTTATTACTCATTGGCGAAATCGGTTTGTTAATTTATATTTTTTTCCTTTAGTTTTTGTTTTTTCTTTTGTAGTTGATTAAGTAATATAATTTTGCATTTAATATATTCAATGTCTCATTGCATTATATTTAATATTAGTATGTAAGCTGTAATTTATAATTTATTATAAATTCTGGTATAGCATTAATTATATAGTCGATTGTAACTTATAAAAGGGTTATTGATACCTTGATATTTTTATTAAGAAAAAATAAATTTCAAATCAGTCAAAATTCTCATTAGAAGAACGTTTGTTGGTTTTTTTATCAGATATTTTATGTAATAGATAACTGAATCAATCTCTCTATAACTGAAATAATACATAAATCCTTCATCAATATTGCAGAGTCCGAATCCAGATTCATCACAATCGAAGGAAGAAGAACAGCTTGGGGGTGAGAACAGGTTAATCCTTTGTTCGGCAAAGGATAAATTTGTTTTAACTCAAGATATTTGCGTGATGTGCGGTTCGATTGGTATGGATCAGGAAGGTTGTTTGATTGCGTGCGTACAATGCGGCCAGTGTTATCATCCATATTGCGCTAGCGTTAAGATCACTAAAGTCATCTTACAAAAGGGCTGGCGATGTCTCGACTGTACTGTCTGCGAAGGTATTAAAAAATTAAAATATATGTATATTTTAATTTATAAAATGGTTAGTTAAACGTTATACAAGTTCTTTACAAATTTTGATTTAAATTTACAAAAAATGCGTAATTATATATTGATAAATCAAAACTATTATATTAATAATTAAAAATTAAAACAGTATAAGTTAGCTAAAGTTGAAATATAATATTTTACATTTTATTGATAATTTGTATCAATCTGTATTAGTCTTCTATTTTATTTGATATAGTCTATTATTAAAGTGAGATTTATTATAATATTATTATCTAATATATTGAAAATAGAAATAATATACATATTATTGATTGATTCTAAACGTATTAGTATATAACTTATTAAGATGCTCAGCAATGACAACTTAAAATTTAATACAATTATGGAATATCTTGTCACAGATAATTTTATTGATTTTTATTATTTGTTTTGTAGCGTTATATAATCTAAAAAAATCTTAAATGAATCGAAATAATTCTATTGGGCATTCTAGTTTTAATAAAATATTTTGTTTCTAAGGCTGTGGTGAACGAAATGACGAAGCTCGTTTGATCCTTTGCGACGACTGCGATATCAGCTATCACATTTATTGTATGGACCCCCCCTTGGATTATGTGCCGCATGGTACCTGGAAATGCAAATGGTGTGCACAATGTCAGACTTGTGGCTCCAACGATCCCGGTTTCAATTCATCTTGGCAAAAAAGTTACACCCAGTGTGGACTCTGCGCATCTCATACCGCTTGTGTAGCTTGCCAAGAAGCTTATCAGGAGGGTGATCTCATCATTCAATGCGTACAGTGTGAAAGATGGCTTCACTGCGGTTGTGATTTGATTAAAAGCGAAGCTGAGGCCGAACGCTGCGCTGCGGAAGGTTACGTTTGTCTTCTCTGTCGTCCTAGAGATGTTCCCCCTCCTCATCTTCTTTCTAAACCTTCTTCGAAGTTTGCTCGGTCGTCTTCTCCACCTCAAAATCGAAGTACAGAATTATTTAAAGCTTCCTCACAACAATATTTGGTGGAAGGAGTATATCTTTCCGAAGCTGGGATGAATCATATTAAATCATTAACCGCCGAACATCAGCAAACAAGAAAAAAGAAAAGAAAACAGCCTCAGATGGTGGATAAAGAAGCAGATATCATGGCGACTATTGAATCTGTCATTGCTGGTGGAAGTTTAGACAATTCTTTAGAGGAAAATAACAAATTAGAATTGATAGATGTCAAAGATGAACCAGAAACAGTATTGAAAGAAGGTATGGTATGGAACCAGCCTGCTCCTGAAGGCTTCAGCATTTGCACTTCGGAAAATGGACTTCCTGTTTTGCGAAGAAAACGTCAAAGAAATTTGCAAAAATTAGGAATTGGAGGATTTATTGTAAGATTGAGAACCAGGAAGGACAAAGAAGAAGAAGGAGATGCTGAGAAATCTGGGGAATCTTCAATCGTAGGAATGGGAGACGATAAACCCCGAAGAAAACCTCAGAGAAGAAAGCCAAAAACGAAACTGGCGGAATGTTTTCCTATCTACATGCAAGAAGCGTTTTTTGGTAAAGATTTAATGGATACAACAAAGGAGAAAGATCTTGAGAGCAGCAGCGAATCCGAGGAAGAACACAAAGTTCCTGAAAATGCCAATACAATTCAGTTATCTCAAGACGAATTGAAGGTAATGGAACAAGTCAAAGCTAAACAAGAAAAAGAAGACGGAAAGATTGCTCCTGAGCAAATCAAAAGAGAAGAAATCGTGGAAGATGACGGAAGTGATACTGAAGCACTCGGAGATATTTTACCAATTTCTGGAGATTTGTTGGATAGCGATCTAGTGAATACAATAATGAACGAAAACGATGAGGACTTAGCGAAGGCGAGCGAAGCATTGGACGAGTTGGATGATGCACAAGGTGGAAGTAAAGATGAATTGACAGATATTCTCAGTCCACATTTTAATTTGGAGTCGATGGTCAGAGATACTGGTAAGCACTTCCAAGTAAACATTAAATGTTATGTCATAAACAGTGAATATTAGAAATAATACAATATATTATTTTATTAACATTTTGATATTATCTCAGTAGAACATTAGAATATAGTCAACTAAACACAAGTATAAAATTGAATATTATAAATCTTTTTTTTTTTTTTTTAAAGGATTACCTAATATGGATAGTAAAGACATCGAGGAAATATTTAAAGGCGTTCTGACCGATGAATCTCAGGAGTCTCAGGAATCATCAGTGTTTTCTGTTCAAGCTCAGACTTCGCATCCCTCATCGTCTACTACCCCTCTAGTATCACCCTCTCCCCATCCCGGTAATGCATACCAATTATATCAATAATAAAACAGTGATTAAAGTTATATAAATAACCTACAACATAAATTAGAATTTGAATAAAAATAACAACAAAATTACAATAATTATTAGAGGAAAATGGAAGAGAATTGAAATTAAGTTATTTATTAAATGACATACAATAAGGTGATTCTAAAATACATTCGAAAATATATTTTAATAATATTCGAGTATTATTCAAGTTCGGACATCTTGACATCAGTTTTGTTGTTTTCTGAATACTAGAATAAGAATAACTTGAATTATATATTCACTGTTTATAAAAAATATTATAAGTAGATTATTTTTTATTTCTTATAATTCTTATATATTTTATGTTTTATCTTATTTAAATCAATTGCTTTATAGGTATTCAAACAGCAATGCCTCTGGCGAGACCTCAAATACCTGGTGCTCTACCCTCGGTTGGTCAATCAAACTTAAATTCCCCAATGAGTTTTCCACCGCCTTCACCATATCACTCCGAATACAGCAAGTAAGAATAAATATATTTTAAAAATAATATCAAAATTAAATTGATGTAAAAAAAACTATATCATATATGTAATGTATGTGTACTTTGATATCAATTTTAATTTTTGTAAATTTAAACTATTTTTTAATTTTTTAGTAGTCCACAGTTTAGTCCGGCATTTTCGGAGCCACCTAGTCCATGGGTGAATCCAGAAGACGAGGGAAACGCTCCAGCAGGCAATGCTACCATTTCATACAACCAAAGAAGCAATCAGAAGCTGGAAGCCGACGAAGCATTGGGCAAGGCAGCAACAACAGCCTCAGTTCTCTATGCTAATATGAATCATCCTGAATGGAAAACTGAATATCCAGGTAAGAGTATATTTCTTTAATTATTTCGAATATGTCTTTCATCTTCTATTGATTCTGCCAAAAGTTGAAATTAAATTTTAAGATTATGATTTATAATATTTTAATTAATATTTTTACTTTCTGTAGTGTGGGCCGAGAGATGCAAGCAAATTCTGAAGAAATGGCGAGCACTTCCAACCGATAAGAGAAGTCCATATTTAAATCAAGCTCGAGAAAATCGAACCGCAGCTCGCTTGAAAAAGGCACAACAGGTAATTGATGTATATATATTGCAGAAACAAGAAAAATATTTTGATTATCGCATTTGTTTTTATGCGTTAATTCTTTAGTCAGAATTTATGGCTGAAAAAGCGCGATAATTCATTAGAATAACCAACATTTCTAGACGTTCTTTTATTGGGGTTTTTGTCCTCGAGCGTGTCTTGTGCTAACACTCAAGTGAGACTAACAGCTCGACAATTCTGTATGTCGTAAATTACGTTCATATTGTGAACTTCTGGGTTTTTACCAGCATTAATGGTTAAACAAAATAAAATCTATCTTTCATAAAATCTAGATTATATCCGAATTGTTTATTTTGGCAGTAGATTCAAAAAGATAAAATAATATTTAAAAATGATTAAAATTAAATATGTAATTAAAATAATTTTTGTTTTAAAGATGAACAGTGGATTTTGCTCCACATTTCTGCATTAATTCCATTAGAAATGTAAATTTTATTATAGGTGAATAGCTGAGATAGAATAATCAATGTAGGATGATGAAATCCATTGTTTACAATATTAGAAGTAATTGCATTTCTCAAAAAACTCAAAAAATGAAAAGATAAATTTTATAAGGAATAAAAATTTGTTATTACATTTTTCATAATAGAAAATATTTCCAGTTGTAAATTTTTTATTCGTATCTAGTTTCGACAATAGAAAATATTGTAAGCTATTAACAATACAAATAGGTCCCACTCACGCTCGAAGATAGGTAGAATTGAACGTGAACAGGTCTCTATATAGTGGGCTCAAATGAGGTGAAGAGGGACTTTTAAATCTTACATGTAAAAACATGTATCCTACATGTAAAAATTAAGAATAGAAATATTTATAAAAATATTTGCAAGTATATACAAAGTTCTAAGAAAAAGAAGAATATTATTATACAGTGTCTCAAATTTTAACGATCAAAATATGCCAGTTTGTATTATGAATAGAAATAAGAAAAAGAATGTTATATGAATATATGTTCATAAAAGCTTTATCCAAAAGTTACAAAAAAATTTTTCTATTTAAAATCTGGCACAATTTGATAAAAACCTTTTATATATATATATATATATATATATATATATATATATATGTATGTACATCTGAGAGCTATATAAATCCAATTTATAGATCTGCATGTGTTTAGATGTGGATCTACAAATAATCAATTTACGAATTTATAATCTATAAATCTATCGATTCGTAAGTGTGTAGATGAATGAACCCTGTTACCCACTTTTGTCTCTGTTTTATAAATTAGACATAGATGTGTATAATATTTAAAACCACAATCGGTACAACATAGTATTTAGATACATCCAATAAGAATCCATTAAGAATCCTTGTAAATTCATGAGTTCGTAGATCCATAAATTCATGAAGTCCAGAAAATTCATATATACCTTGCTTCTATGTGTTTCGTAAATACGAAAACAGTCTAATGTATGTTAATAATCGAAATTTCGTGTTGAGTGCGACCTGTGCGACTTATTCTTATCTCGCCTCGTTCGGGCCCATTATACCATTTTTACATGTAAGGTGTTTCTCATAAAGCTGTTATTTTGATACTATTTAAATGTAGGTATATCAGAAAATTTTAGATATATCTGGAAAAATGGAACGAAATTAATAATGCTTTAAGATGTAAGAAGAAAAAATGAGATATGAGGAATAATAAGAAAGAACCCTATAGAGTATTATACAATACTTATTTAATTTTTATATACAAAATAATTTTTTTTTCCTTTTGTATTTTCTTTTGGCTTGTTCGGATGTTGCTCAGAAGATGCAAGAACTTTTGCTTGCAAAACTAACAATTTTTTGAAATTTATATCTTTCATAAAAATATAAAAATTTAATATTATTTATTTTGTAAAGAATATATGTAAATTTATCTGCGTGATATAATTTGAAAATGGAGCAGTGTTGTAAAATATGCTCTTATATAAGATTGCTTTATGCGAGATATCCTCATGTGTATATCACATCGTGTGACTGCGAACCGCCCGGTGTTGATCCGACAGCTCTCCAAGGAGACACCACCACCAAGCACCACCAACACTATCATCACTACCAATATAACCACCACCAATACCACCACCATCAATATCAACACCACTACTACTACTACTACCGCCATGACTACCATCATCACCAAACCTGCCGCTATGACGGCTCAGCAGCAGCAACAGCAACAGCAGGGAGTGGGTCTGAGGCCCATTGAGAAGCAATCAGGAATGTTGATGACCACTGGAATGACATCAACTGGCAACAATCAACATCAGGAGGTGTGTGGGGTGCAGGGAACCCCGCTCAGCCCCTCCCTCTCCCCTGAGGCTCCTAGAAACCTACAGTCGTCCACCTTGCAATCTTGCACAACACCGGCTTCTTCGTCCTCTTTGTCTTCTTCTACGTCTTCTTCCTCTTCTTTTTCTCATTGCAATAATTCGGGTGAAGGGCAGCAACCCCTCCAGCAACGTCCACCTCCGATTGTCATTAACAGCGGCGGGAGTAATAGCATAGATCAGCATCAGATCCGAGTGCTCACTCCGTCCGAGATCATGCGCACCCTTCCGTCCCTCAGCCAGGAGCACTACGACCCCCCACCTCCGCCAACACCACCCACTGCAATTGTTCACACTGTGCCTCCCGTACAGAACCATCACCACCACCACCACCATCACCACCACCACCCGAATAACATCATGGTGAGAGCCTCCGTAGTGTTTTCTTGCCTTTCTCTTTGCATCTGATCAAGACTTAGTGTTCCCCCTGTATACATGTATATGTATTTTATTTAAAATATTGTAAACGAAGATTTTACTCCTTAAATGCGTGTTTCATGCTTTATGAAATATTATAGGGCTGTGGTTCATATTAAAATCACATTGTTACTTTTGTTTAGCATCATTGTCAATATATTTTCCCTATAAAGAGTTAAATTTATTTACATATCTATTTAATTTTGAAATTAAATTTTTAATAATTATGCATTTTGTTATTTTTATTCTTTTATATACTTGAATTTATTTAAATTATATTTATTTAAATATGAAATATTTTTTTAAATACAGAATGCTGAACATTTTTGTCAAATTGCTGTTATAATAGATAGTATATACTTAAATATATTTCTTTTATAATTCAAAAATATTCCAATAGCATGTTTAAGAATAGTAGCATAATTTTTTAACGAATCCTGTTATTTTTATCCTTATCGATCCTAATTCATGAATCATTATTCATTTCTTATCCTTTGAATCCATTGACATTGCTTATGATTTTGTATTGTTGTTGTGGATGATTGATAAATTAGTATATTATAGTATACTGCTCTGTAACGGTTATGCAGTAGCTTAGTACTAATTTTATTACTTTACATTTTTTTCAGATTTTTCCCTCTTTCAATAATTAAATAATTAATACGAATATAATTATAATTTCATAAAATTAAGATTTCTTTTTTTTTATCTGTTTTAAAGCTGAATTATACTATGAAAGATACAACAAACAAGTAGATATAGCAAGTCAATTATAACTCGAAGAAACAATGAAATAGGAGTAGGTAATATGAAAATTTATTAAACAAATACAGGAATTTTTTTTTTTTTTTTTTTTATAGAAGGAACGAGCTCTTGTAGATTCTTAGGTTTTTTTAGAACTACTGTAGATGATGTATTTTTAAATATACCTATTGTCATGTTTAGACACATTAATTCCGAGAGGGTATTTTAGATTTACCGCATCTTCTAATGGTAAATTTTTTAGGTTACTTAGAGATTAAAATTTTAATATTAAAATATCAAAATTATAAAAGTTTTTAAATAGAAAAAGTTGTTATTTAAAAGTAATTAATTTGTTATGCATACTGACAGTATAAATATTATCGAATAATGATGTTAGAATGCGAAGTGCATCAAATTGTCAAAATTGAGGCCAGTCATTGCTGAATGATATCTTTTATGTCATTCTAATAAATATCGATCTCAATAAATTATATTTATATCTAATTGTAAGCGTGTCTTTACTATTGTACGATGTACCATACATTTGAATATGCAAACTTTAAATATTTTCCATTTAAAAATTGTTATTCTAAAATAAAAACTTATTGAACTATTACAGCTCATTATGGATTATGGATTAAAATTTTCATTTTTTTAATGACCTTAGAAATTTAGTATCAGCAAATAGTGTGTTAGATCTGGTATATCCTATATGTATACATAATATACATTTTATTATAATTGTATTTTGTTATGTAAAATTACTGGAATTCAAATTTTAATATGCATGAATGTGGAATCGTCGCATTATTCTTCGACGAGATTGTGATGTTTTTGGTGTTTTGTGTTTTTGACTGTGATTAAAGTTTTCTTCAAGTGAACTAAGTAATACGCGCGCGTATATGTATAAATGTACTAATATTATAAATTAATCTCTTTAAATTAATATATGGTGGCTGGTTATAATTATTTCCAGTGTGTTTGCACATATATGAGATTTACAGAATCTTGCTAATCATTATTAATTTAGTTGTATTATTGTTGTTACTTTTAAAAAGATGTTTATACAAGGTATGGCCAAAAGTTTGAAATTATATTTATTTTTTATATCGTAAAACTAACGCAGATATACGAAAGTTAATATTTTGTTCTTAGTTTTCCTTGAATATTCTTTTCAAATTTTTGGCCGATATTACGTATATGAATACTTTTTATTGGCTGATTGTAACTAGTGCTTTATATTTAACTGTGCTTTATAAGAAAAAGGTCATTACATTTTAGAATTGATTTCTTGATAACAATTTATATCGCATATGAATGTAATTGTAAAAATATTTTTATAAATTTTGGGTATATATTTATTAAATTTTTTGTTAGATTTACGAATAAGATTAATACTTACTAACAAAATAATTATAAGTTTGATAATACACAAATATTACAATATAGTCAAATATAATAAAAATTTTATAAAAATAATAAAATTAATTTTAATAGTAAATCTAATTTTTTGTATTGTAATTGTTCACTGATACAACTACCAGTAAATGTAACTAATAAAACAAATTTTAAAAAAGAATTACATTAAATGTAATGACCTTTTTTAAAGAATAGCTTAAAAATTTATATATTACTGGTCTTCAACAGGAACAAGACAGACTATCAAACAGAGATCGATCTACCAGAGAAGCTGAGCAGGAAAGACAATGGAAACAACTGCAAGCCTTGCGTCAACAACAAGCACAATTACAGCAGCAGGTCATCCATGAGCAACGCGTACATGGTACATTTATTAAATTAAATTCTACTATAGCAATTTGGAGCATTATTCTGTAATAATAATATATTTCTTTTCTGTTAAAAGCAATTGCCAGAGTACATAGACAAATGAACGAAGAAAATGTACCACAATTAATTAGTGATACTGCACCCGCATTAACGGCACAGTTACAAGTTTCCACGGCGCAAGTAAGTCTATTTAATTTAATCTTTTTATATTGAGGATATATATATATATATATATATATATATATATAAAATATTTGAATAAAATTATTTGTCGCGTATGTTACATACAAATTATGCGAAATTTAAATTGTCCATATATTCACAAATTGCTTTAAAAAATCGAAAAATATAAAATAATATACAAAATAAAATGATGTAACCTCAGTCTCTAAATCAATTTAAAAATTTTTTTGCAGGATACAAGTCAATTGACTTCCTTAGCTTCTCCTTCCCGAAGTACCTTCGCTACGCCTTCACTTAAGACTCCTCGTAGTCTCACACCTCAGTCACCCCATCATCAAACTATGGTACGTCTGCCTACGCAAGTTCCTTGCCGGCCGATACGTCCGGGTTTTCCTCAACCACCGTCTCCCTTCTCACCGCAGGCACCCCAGTCACCTCATGATTTTCCACAGTCCCCTGCCTCTTCTCAACCTTCTCAGGAGTCACATTTCCAGCGCTTCGAAGGCAATGTTTCAACTCCTGCATCCCCCTATTCGTCACCCCAGACACCAGGTACACCCCGTACCCCCGTGTTTAATCCTCCGCGACCCCCTGTTTATGCTCCTCCTCCTCCTCTTCCTCCTCCTCCTCCTCCTCCGCCTCCCCCTTCTCCTGCTCCTCCTGCAACATCGCGAACTCCTGATCCTTACAGCCAGCCACCTGTCACTCCTACATCCATCCCTGCCGCATCTGGCTATCCATCGCCCAGAGGTTCTGAGACTCCTCGAACACCTCAGGAACAAGAGGTAGCCTTTGGACAGCAACCGGAAGTTAATAGACAGTTGAGGGACTTACTGCAAAGACAACAGTTTAGTAAGAAGATTGAAGGAGCCGGGGCCAACTGGGTTCAAGGTACATTTTATTCTATACATTTTATTCTATAATTTTATATTAGTATTAGAATAATTAGAATAAACTCGCAATTTATCAATGTTGCTATAACAATAGATGTTGGCAAATCGATGTAAGCTAATGAATATAATAAATATGAATTTAATTATTGTAACTATATTAATTACTAATAATTATAATAAATATGAGTCACATATTCTCTGAAACTTAATTAAACTAAAATTTAATTAAAATCACATTTTCGAACTTTTCAATTACATTCACAACTCAGATGGACAAAATAATACGGAGAACAACCAGCAACAGTTTGAAGCGGGTCATGTGCAACTTCAGCAACATTCTCAAGTACAAAACAACTCTAGTGAAGGTACTTTTAGACATCCACTTCCGCCAGGCATCATTAGGCCCAGAATACCCACTCAACCAAACGTCTTAATAAGAAATTCCATTGGTATGCACGCAATATTTTTGTTAATTTTTAATATATAAATATTAATTTATACTTCTATTTTATAACAAATATTTTTTGCTGTACAATATTTATTTCTATACATATAACATTTATATAACATTTAAATATTCTCATAAAATCAGTTTATTATATTGTCACTTTTATTTTTAATGTGAAATCTTTGATTTTTACGTGAAGTTTCTACATGTAATGTATGAATTCAGGAATAAACTCGCGACATCCTGTAGCTGGAAATATTCAGAATCCGATTGACCATCGTACCAGGACACTACTCCAGAATAGGCCCCAAGTAGCTACCAATATAGCTGCTCAGCAGCATTTCCAGGCAACTCAAAGCCTTCAAACACGATTGCCAGCAGTAAGAAATGCCATTTCTGAATCTTATGACATTTTGCAACAACAGAGATTTACAGGTAAATTAAAAAAATCTTCAGAAACATTCATCAAAGATGTTTTTTAGCATTTTACATAAATTGTAATCTGAAATGTGAGACGAGTTTGATATTACACAAATATGAAAGTCTATAGATGAAAGATTTAAAAAAAATGAGAAAAATCTTTGTTTAGACGTGAATCAGGCACAGAATCAACGCATCGCGCGAACGGGACAGGACAATTTAAACCAAGGTATTCGCGTGTTGAGCACAGCTCCAGGGATGGTCCGAGCACCACTCATCCCCACGACGATGAGTGAGACCGCGGGAGTGGCTACTTCAGAAGCATCCGAGATCCCCGACAATGTGACAGCTGAATTGGAAAAGCTGGAACAGGAAGGAGCCGGGCCGATAGTCGAAGTTGAGGGGGTCAGTGCAATATTGGGAGATCTAGCAGATGATGATGACGAACTGCTCGGTAAGTGTGTATATGTGTGTTGCACAAGAAAGAATATGAAGAATTGAATTTAAAAAATATAATTAAACGGAAAATCAGTCTATATAAATTAATCTTAAAAAAAAGACTTAAAAGTGAATTTGTTTATATAGATTAACAAAATTTAAAACTAAAAATTTGTCATTCTTGAAGCTGAAATGGGAGCGGACTTCAACATTCTGGAATATGCGGATCCTGAACTGGACACGATCGCGGGTGGGAAGAAGACCATTTTTGATCTGGAACTCGAGCAAGTCGAAGTTGATTCCAAAGACGATAAGCAAAAAAAGGAAACCAGGGACGAAGATCAGAAGCCAGAATTGACTAGTTCATCTTCTGAAATTGCTGATTCCTGCTCAACGAGCACGAGTTTGACAGAAAATTCTAACGTGCCGACAATGACATCGCCGCAAGCGACATCGCAGGCAATGCAGGCGCAAGTAGTGCAACAGCAGATGCATCAGCAAGTGCAACAGGCGGCAGCGATGGGCCGACCGATACCACCAGGAACAAGGTTGCTTTCACCGGATGGAGCGGTTGGTGTGGTGACTTCCACAAATACGGTAACTGTGAGTTATCCACCGAGTTTTCCTGGACATCCGCAGAGACTTTCGCAGGCGCATATGCAAGGTAAATTTAAAAAAAAATTGTAACAATATTATTTGTTTATTTTGGAGTTAAAATATTAGATTTTTTTGCGTAAAAAGTTATATTTTACAAAAATCTCGAATTAGTTACAATATTTCTATCTTCGGTCTAATATTTATATTATATTGTGTTTTGTGTATGTAAGTCTTTAAATTTTGACATTTAATATGTATAATATATATTTTTATTATAGTCTCGCAACAACAACGGCTAGGCATGCGAGTTGCGGCGGGGGTGCCAAATATGCCGGGCAGAGTAGTTGCTGTAAATCATATAATTAGTCCCCGGATGCCGTTGGCTCCGCCGCCGCCACCGCCACCGCCGCCACCACCACCACCCCCTTATCCGGGACCACCACCGCCATATCCCGGACCGATACAAGTAAGTGTCGATGTTTATATTTAATCTGAAAATTTATACATCGTTTGATATTTAATTTTTTCATGTAATTGCGAGAGAATCAAGTTAGTAGATTTATAAAGTAAAGAGACTGAAAAGATAAAATTAAATATACAAGATAATGCTCTTGTTAAAAAGATTTTTGATAATAATCCATATAACAGATAATTTAGGTCATAAAATTAAATGCTATACTCTGTGTTCGTGTGTATGTGTGTGCGTATGCGTGTGTGTATGCGTGTGCGTGTGTGTGTATAGAAAAAATAAAGATTTTTATAGGAAATTTGCAAAAATTTGTAAATAAAAGAAACAAAACATTGGTCATTTTAATAACGCGTTATTATGCCAATACTTTACTAAAAAAATTATTGATAATAATTAATTACATCATATGGTTTGTTAGCATTTTATGATATATAATTAATAAAACATCTCATGATTGCATGTATAATATATGTGTCAGTCAGTTTCGTACACATCTGCTGAATTTATTTCAAAAATATTTTGCGCGGCTATGCAGTATTAAATAGAAGTAATTTTACATAATTTGCTAAGCTGCAATTTTAAGATAACAAATATTTTTAGAAATATATGTTAATATTTTTTGTAATCTTATTTTACAAAGCATATTTACATGAAAGTTACTTCTGAATGTGGGAGTGTTTTATAAAATAATTTTAATAATTGCAGTAATTAATTATGAGGAAATTATTTAGTAAAAAATAGAAAGAAGCTTAAATACATTACTAAATTAATATATATTGATTGAATTATACTCAAACAATAACAAATTTAAAATAAAATCTTGCTTTATTTAGAATAATTTGATGAAACGAAACTAAGACTTGAAAAATTTGCTGTGATTGTAGGCGTAGCTAAATAATAGATTTAACACTTTCTATGCCAAAAACATTTTCTGTGTGCGTGTATTGTGTGTGTTGAGACGTTACAATTACTAATATATATTAATAATAACAATTGAAGAAACATCTGCAATACTTAGAACCTATCGATTTAAAGTTTTATAAATTATTGTTTTTGAGATGAACATTCTTAAAATCATGATAAAAGAATTTTTTCTTATTTTATAAATTTATTTATTTTGATAAAAATTTGTTTTATATTATTTTTGTCATATATTAATTATATTAATACAAATAAAAAATAAAGATAAATAAGATCAAAATAAATGTGGAAAATGTTTAAATGGCAATGGGAAGGTGTGGTAAGAAAACTGACTGGTGTTTTTGGCCTGGGTGTGCAAGTTTGCAATATGCATTTGGTGTTGGTGCATGTGTCTAGATGGGACTATGTCCGGGTGGTGGTGGTGGTGGGCGAGGTATGACACGGCCCTCAGTTCATATGACGGGGCACCAGGTACCGGTGGCGGGTCCACCAATGGGACCCGTGGTGCTGCACCCTCACCGGAGACCTTTGCTTCTGCAGGTAAGCGAGATTCGGGGCATTTTACAATACAACGACGTTAATACAAGAACAAATAAATTCTCATTTTATATGTAATTTCCGCAGAATTTTTTTACGTATTTTAGAGTATAATTAAAAAATAAACAGTTATCTATTATACGATATGGTATGTTCTAAATAGAATAATAAATTAACTAATATAGACAAAACATTTGTTTATTTGTAATTAATTAATTTATTTATTATAGAATATAATATATATTAATAAAGATAAATATTGAAAGCTCAAATAAACCATAAAGTTATCTGAGAAAAACTTACTTATGTCTTATTATAAAAGTAAAGAAAAAGTCACTAACATTTGCATCTTTTTGCACCCCTTTTTTATATGCATTTTTAAACGTTTGCATCCATATTGCACGAAATTAATTTTATTAATTTTGACAAAATCCTGTATTTTACTAAATTTTGCTTAATTAATTCTTCATTAAAGCAATGTGATCTAGAATATCGCTTTTTTATGATCAACGCATCAATGTTGAAATTGTTTTGCATGTATATTTGTGTATATTATCAATTTAGACTACAAATTTTTCTTTTTTTGTTTTTTATATATTTATAACAGAGATAGAAAAAAGGAAGATTATTAATGGAGATATATAAATATAGATTAATTTGCAATACATTTTATCTACATATTTTATCTACGTTTATTTTTTCTTGCATACGCACACGCGCGCGCGCACACACACACACACACACACACACACACACACACACACACACACAC